ATTGAAAGACACGTTTGGTGACCGCCTAATTTCACGTTTTGGACCTGTGAATTGGCCTCCAAGATCTTGTGAATTAACACCGCTAGATTACTTTCTGTGGGGCTATGTAAAGTCATTGGTCTATGCGGATAAGCCACAAACGCTTGACCATTTGGAAGACAACATTCGCCGTGTTATTGCCGATATACGGCCACAAATGTTGGAAAAAGTCATCGAAAATTGGACGTCCAGATTGGACTACATCCGAGCCAGCCGTGGCGGTCATATGCCAGAAATCATAATTAAAATGTAATGCCACAAGATTATCTTTCGGATAAATAAAATTCATGTCAATCGAATAATCCATCGTTGTTTTATTGCAACTTAAAGTTCTATACATCGAAAAAACCATTGCTGTTGTTCGGTTCAACTCTGTGACGTGCAATCAATCTTGAATGCAGTTTTTTCGGACACATATAAAGCACTAGCTTAACTAAAATCGCTTATGTAAATTATAAATAATAGGGTACTTAAAACCGATTTTTATAATACCACAAAACTTAACTGACTAATAGAAGAAACTTAACACACATAAACTTATATGGTGAGAACGCACTAAAACTAAATCTGATTACTTGAGATACGACCTTTATGATTGATTTTATAGCTAGAGCTTGCCTATGGCATTAAAATAAGCCATGTGTCTATTGAACAATCCTCTAAATAACCTAAAAACCAGCAAACGTCACCTATATTTCCAAAATGACTGAAAAACTGCACTTAGCTGCATTTTCATTCCACACACGCCATATTAAAAGGATAAATTCATATTTCTTCGAATCCCACCCTATCGGGGTACCGCTTTATTGTTCGCGTCTCGTTTAAGCTTCGACTTGTCTTGCTATAAACCGCGATCATAATTCAAAAGGAATTTAGTTACGGTCGGCCGTGCTGCATAACAACAAACTTCGGCATGACGTGCTCGGTATCTCACTCGATTCTTGGACGTGACTTTGAGGATATCCACGTCGCGTTGGAGGAACAGGCTATTGTTATTCAACCGAATGACCGACATGGACCCTGCTATCCAGACACGAGACGGTCTCGTCTCGTAAACCCCCCATTTATGCTAATAGCTTATACGTAAATTATGGATTATGTAATCATAAGTTTTAAGTTATTAAAGCTATTTAGTTTAGCATAAATTTGAGGATTTGTTTCTAATTATCAATATATTTGTTTCACAAAAATACAATTCAAGAATGAAACAAACAAAAGCTATACAGTATCGAGAAAGACATGCTTAACTAAACAAATACACGATAACACCTAAACCAACCTTAAAATAAACGACTACTTTAAGTGAAATCAAAAATTCAACATGAAAAAAGCACCTTTTTCCAATTGTTGCTTTAAAAATTTTAATTAAATTTAGAAGAGCTCAAAAAATTACAAGAGATTAAAAGGTTTGCATTTTCGAATCTGCAAAAAATATAAGAGGTGCATTCTAACAGCCATTCTTGTTCTTCGCAAGTGTAAAATACACGGGATAATGATTTTTCAGACATATTAATAAATAAATAATAAATAAATAAAATAAATAAATAAATAAACGAACGACAGATGCATCGTTTATTAATTTATGTTTACGTCTAATATCATGCTGTTGCTATAAATTGAACTTTTCCAACTGTTTGATACCAGTTATAGTTTTAATAGCAAGTGAAATTTTATGATTCTAAATTTGGAAGAGTACCTCTGACGGCCAGCCAAAGGATATATTGTAACTCTCTCTATAGCTATGGAGCTTTATCTAGGTTCGCTTCTTTGATTAGACTCCAGCAGCTTCGATAGTCGTTCCTTGATGTAGCTCGTTTGGTTATGGCTGACAGATGCAGCCAGGTGGTAGGCTTTTTCATTAGCATAGCATGTGTTGTACCTCTGAACGCATGTATCTCTGGACAAAGTATGTTTACAGTTATCTAATTACCCTTGTGCTAAAATGAAAAACAAAATTTCAATAAAGTTTCATGCCCATCTATTAGATAGCGACGTAATTCAATTGGCGTTGGAACGTCTGATCAGGCTCCCCATTTTAGATTTGTCGGTCGCCAAGTTAATTCAAGTGGTCCGTGTTTTTTTTTTGTGTAATTTTGGTGTCAGTGAGTTTTCGAGATGTAGTTTTTACGCAGAGTAGGTACTTGAAGGGTTATTGTTACATGTGGATAAAAAGAAAATTGAAATATTTTTTGATATAAAAAATAAGCCTTGCTTTGACGACAAATTGCATATAGGCATGTCCAGAGGTACATGTACACGAGTTTTGAACTTGTAAGATTTTTTAAATAGCTCTCTTCTTTAGGAGAATGCCTCGTAGCAAAGTAGGCAAGAAACGATCTCCCGTGGATCGAAAACAATTAAAAATAGCGGTTAATGCGGTCGCTAAAGAAAACATGAAAATAAGACTCGCAGAAACTTGTCAAGAAACATAAAGACTCAGGGAATGACGATTGGAGATATATTTGAAACAGGCAGCTAAGATGCAATACGGACTCACAATGTTTTTGGCATATTCTCATGCAAAATCCAATAATAAAAACATTCCTGACCAATGGGAATCATCAAAATGTACAGGTAGAGAATGGCTTAGAAATTTTCTGAAACGACAGCCTTAAATAACTTTGCGGAAACCAGAATCAACTAGCCTGGCCAAGATCCACCAGTTTCAACACTTCAATGTTGAAGCGTTTTTTACAAATCTTCCGATACTCCAAGTTTGGATCAAGCCAGATATACAATATTAATAAGACTGCCTGACTGACCAAGGATCTTAGCACCGAAAGGAATAAAGCAGTTGGGCAGTATGACATCAGGAGAAAAAAGATGATATAAAGTTGATATTTCCTCGTGTCCAATTTAAGGATTTTATGCTAAATGGTGCCCCTACTGGGACAGTCGGTGCAGCTAGATGGTCAAATAAAAAAAATTTTTTGGATTATGTGAAACATTTTTTGAAAGAGGTCAAGGCATCTAAGGAAAAGTCAGTTTTGGTCATTTTTGATAACCACGAAATCCATATAAGCATAGTACTCATAAACTTAGCTAAAGACAATGGTGTGGAATTATTGACGTTTCCACCACACACGTCTCATAAATTACAACCATTAGAAAGAACGGTTTTTGGTCAGAGAAAAGGAAAAGAATAGGAGAACGGAACCAGGGAAAAACACGCATTTTGATATGGACACAAAAAAAAAATTGATAGAAGCAGAGAAAATGAAAAATAACTAAGGTTACAAGGAAAGTATTGGATGACAGCTCATCAGATGTCACTGATAGTTTCAACCTAGATTTTGGAACTTTGGAACGTTCGTGTTTCGCAAATAAATATTTTTTTGAAAGTTGGTTTCAATTATTTAATGTATAATTTCCAATTAAAAGAGTGTATCTTTTTCATTTAGTCCCTGTTTAATTTTTGTCCAGAGGTACAGACATACTCTCAAGAGGTACACTGCATAGTTGTACCTATGGACATATTACAGCACTTGAAAAAATATGTAATTTTTCATTAGTATAATGTAGGTAAATCTCAACAACGTAAAAATTAAACCGAAAAGGGTCAACAGTTTGAGCACTCTACAAGTTGTGTCCTTAAGATAGTTTTTTGAATTTTATTTAACAATGTATACATTTTATCCAAGGGTACAACAGCTCTTGACAGAATCTACATACTACTTTTGCAGCTTAGCAAGTCTGCTGTAAATTTGACCGATGTACCTCTGTGCTCTCCAGCATTTTCAAGATTTTCTTCGATCCATTTTTTATTGGCTGATTTTGCAGTAAGCTTAGCCACCCCAAAAAAGGTGTTTTGGTCCAACCACGATTCTTCACGAATCTTCATGGGCTACTTCGTGGGCACTTTCATTTCCTTTATGACTTTCGTGCCCTGGTACCCCTGACAGCGTCACTTTATTGTTATATGTTATATGTACGCTTTTATGCAGCTTACCTACAGGGCTACCCACAAAGTTTAGGAAAAAAGTATAAATATTTTTAAAAATTATGGTCAGCAAATCTCAAAAAATTTTGTGTAATTTCAAATTTTGGCAGACGATGCATATATTTCAAGATCCCTTTTTCTATACTTGAGCGGTATAGTATGTCTCAAGGGTGATGCAAATTAGTTTGGAATACCCAGATGCAGAAATTATTTGAAATTTTGGTTGCTGAGGTTACTGGCTCCAACAACAACTTTTTAACTTTACCATCATCCTGTGCATATTTAAAAATAGTAAGTCGCAATCTACAGTGTTGTCTGTTTTACTCAAATCGAAATATAAACGCGAAACTAAATAATGTGTGTGCTTTTGTGAACGAGTAGACTGCAATTATATTTGGAGAATTTAAAATTTGCCGTAAGAAATAATATTAAAAAATTACAAAATTAAAACGGAATTTCTATTTTCAATAGATGTGCCATAGAAAAAAGATATTGTTCTTCAATAAAATAACCAATAGATATAATTGAACTGAACTTGAACTAACCCTCTAAGTGTCAGTAGAACTGCTAAGTACAATGGAATTACGCGAATGATGAATAACGCCAGACACTATGATGTTAGTTTTGGTGAAGACTATTGACGCATATTATTGGGAAACCGAACCAAAACAATTTACTTAAAGTATATTATGTATTTTAATTATTGATTATTAATACTTTACCCCAAATAAATTGAACCAATCAAGCCTGAATTATCACGTGCAAATTTAAGTTCGGTATGTTTTATGCTATTAAAAAAATATATTCTTTATTTAATTTGCTAATTTATTTTATTTCCTGTTTCTCCTAATGTCAAAAATTGTTTTTCAGTAATTTATATTGTATTTCGTTGATTAAAAAATAATTTCTAAAAGAACAAACAAAACATTCGCGTACATTTGAAGCAACACTTGATAAAATCTACGGCGCTGTTCCAACGACCTTGCTATTTTTCTACTTAACTCGTCTTTCCTTGTTTCAGATGTTGCATCCAGGAGACGAAATAATAACTGTGGAATGAAAAATGTTTATTTTTCCCGTTACGAAGTTTCCGGTCAAGTTTCCAGCCGAGAGGGACGGATTGCATCGTCCGGTTTAAATTGCGACAAAATCTGAACCTGGCGTCCGACATCGCCGATGATTAAAACAAAATGGATTTGAGTTTTGTGCAACGGAAACAAGAGCATCGATTAATATCGGCTCTTGTTCGTTGTCGTTTCGGATGGTTATCAGTCTTCCATTAGATTATTTTATCGACAGAATGTTCGAATAAGCCCGTCCACATTGCTGACGTGCTATTACTTAGAATGTTTAAGGTGAGGTTTAACTATCGATTGTAGGAACCCTTTTAGGAATTTGTTTTACACTAAATCGATTAGGATGACAAGTATTGCAAAACAAAAACAGGACCCAAATCACTAACAGCTGTTTCTTACCAACTGATATATTTTCGTCTTGGCCTGCTAATTACCAGCTCCAGTTCTTTAAGATCTCCGATTTATCGCTGACACCATGACCATATAGTAAGCTTGACACCCTAACTTCCAGTAGTTATTTTTCCTTTTTTCAAGTTCTAGTTATAGCAGAAAGCATTCCGTAATTGCCAAATAAGTTATTAATTATTTTATTGCTATGAAAAATACAAACGGTGAATTACAAATTGACGTATTCAAACTTTTTCATTATGGTTTCAAAATAACTGTTAAATAGAACCATAAGCGTCCAATTTGGATATAAGTGGTGGCGTACCTTTACATTATTTTCTTACTATGTTCTTTTGTAAATAGGTAGCTAAAATAAAGATTTTTGTGTTATTATTTAAGGGAGAGCTTGGAAAGGAGATTTAAATTAAAATATTTTAAAACACAAAATTTGGATGTGTGATCATTCTATATAAATTGCAACTACACACCATAATTTTGGTAGTGGTCCTTCAGTTGTTCTACTATTATAATTTTCACAGTCTTTCCGTCATTTTAAATTTGACGTTTTGAGGAATTACTTGCCATTTCCTATTCGCCGACCGAAGAAAAAGGGTCCCGGTCCAATTACATATGTGCCTTGAGAAGCCTACTCGGCCTATTTCGTCAGCGCTTTTGTTATATTAGCGTAATGGCCATATTAGGGCATCCTGTTCTGACACCCTATTTAGATCAGGGCACTGCGAAAAAACAAATTTTGCTGGATCACATCCTATTGATTTTATAACATTTGTGACATGGTGAATTGTGGTCTTAGGATTTTTGGCTTTATTACGAAAAATATCGTACTTTCTCCAATCTGCACAATTTGATTGAATTTAATAATTGGATCTAAATTAGGGTATGCGTCGACAATACATTATCCAATTGCACATTGCTCTGATAGAGAAAGTAAATCTTATAGTTATTGGAGAAATTGGGAATGTGCAATTGCATATTAAATTCAAAGAAGAGTCACTGGAACAGCGAATATTCACATCGAGTATTATTTTATTATATACAATAGGCGTTTTATTTAGTAAGTACAAGGTACACTAAAGATAGTTTTGGTTAGTTCAATGTATTAGTAAGTCAGATTAACCCAACTTATGATATGTATTTTTAATGCCTCCAGAGTGTAGGCTAAGAAAAAATTATTATATCCGTTGTGGGTTGAGGTATACTAAGTGAATTTCTACCATTATTTGTTCTCCAATTGATAACCTCTTGTTTCTAATTTGAATATAAACCCGAATTCCTACGACTTTGACCTGTAAATTTTTCCGACATTGGTTGGAATTTGTGGTCTTTAGTGTTTGATAAAATTATTCCGCGTAGACAGTTGCAGAATATTGTCTCTCTCAATTTAGCTTGTCACGTTCATGGCCAATCCACCCATTATCAGTGAGTAGCGTTGCTTGCGACAAGTCTAAGAAGTGTTCGAGCTACTTTAATAGCCCATTTTAAACGTAGGTTCACACAAAATGGTGGACGCTTTGTTAAATTAATTGATTTCATTTGTGGTACAAATCCAATTATCGAGTATTTTGATCTGTCAATTATTTTCTTTTTTTCCAGTGCGCGGATTTGAATGAAAATTAGTCGAAGGCAGTGCGCGATGGCGTCGCCTCCCGGGCACCGTCGCAAATTCACCATCCCGTGACGTCATGAAAGCGTCACGTATCCCAAGCCTCGCGACGTTTCCTCCTCACGTGAAACCATTGAATAAAAATTCGACCAGCGTCCGCGTCTTGTACGCTAGCTGTCTCGTGGTGGTCGCTTTCCTTGTGACGGAGAGCGGGGCTGGATCGCTTCTGGTCCACAAGTACAGCACGAGGGTGGTCAAGACCAAATACGGCATGCTGAGGGGGGTCATGATCCACATTCATCCCCCCGTTGAAGCTTTCTTAGGAGTACCTTACGCCACTCCCCCAATTGGTAGCCTTCGGTAAGACTGATGTCTTTTCCGTTTATAATAGAAATTTTATTTTACTTCATTCAAAAAAAATACAGAATGCTGAATTGGTTAGTTGGAACTGTGAACGACCCTGTAGGAAGCTAGGTCTTAGAGGTTGAAAACGAGATTTGAAATGACCGCGCATTTTTTCATGAGGCTTAAAAAGTGCCAGTATTACAGGATTTTACCTAAACCGCAGCTTACCACTAAAAACTGCTATTTAAACTACATGTTTAAAAAAAATCAAATCAAATCAAAATGGTTTATGCTGGTAAGGATATATAGATAATGATCAATATCATAGCACATATAACGATTTTTTGGAAAATTGAGGAATCCTTATGATTAATTTTAATTTAAGAATAAGTAAAAATACAGCGATAACGTCAAAAATATTAATTATATATATATATATATATATATATATATATATATATATATATATATATATATATATATATATATATATATATATATATATATATATATATATATATATATATATATATATATATATATATATAAATTGTAAAATTGCTGTTATACAAAATTTGTTGAACAATATATAAAAGTGAATATATAGTGTAGGAAACTAAAAAAAAATTCTAAGCGACCTCTGGATTAAATTTAAGAAAATAAATAATTATAATTATAACTGATCTAGTATTATCTCGCCATTTCTAACACTTTACTGCCACACATCATCACTTCAGTTATTGGCAGAAGATAATGCATTGCATTTCTTATTTTTTCCAAACTTTCTTAGAATTTTTTGTCTTTATGATATTATTTCATATTTCTTCAGACTCTCTAATTCGTTTCTAGTGAAATTATTACATTTAATGACCAAGATATTTTTCTTAATTTACATTTACAAAACCTGCGTTGCTTGGTAAATCCTGCCAGATGTTTAGTGCTAATTTCAATAGCTGTTTCAGTTGATCGCTAATATTGTAATTGCAATGCGACTACACCGATCGCATTTATAGTGGATTGCCGATATTGCTATAGCAGTAACATTATTGCGAATGTTTCCAAAGAAGTTGCGGTGTCGCGAGTCAGATGCCATTACTATTATTCTATAAGTTTTGGAATTTGTTTTGAAATTGTCGTGAACAGCAAAATCTTTTTGTTGATTCATATTTAAATTAATGATAACGATAAATGATGATTGATATTTAGGACATATTTGATATATAAGGACAGTACAATAAAGAACAGTTTGTATAAGAAAACAATATCCCTTAAAAACCACACTTATTTTAATTTTTTTGAATTTTTCGAAAATTCTCTAGTTGAACGCTTATATGAGAAGAAGGGGTACATAAAATGTTAATAATTTTTAAAACGTATATAAAATAAAACATTTTATTTTACTGACTATTATTGATCGTCGGTTGGAATTACTTCCTAACGTTTCGCTAGCACGAGGGGCGAGCTTCTTCAGAGGTCCTTCCATCTCCGATGTTGGACGTAGACAGTCTACGCCTTAACCAATTTATCATTTTATTTCACTATTTAATAAATTTTGTAAGAATGTCCATGTTTAATTTTTTGCATACTACAAATATTTTCTTACTAGCGTCTTAAATGTGGAATTTTGTTGCTTATTTAGTCCCTAATATCTAATCATTTACTACTGGGTACGCAATGTCGCGAAGGTATAATCCAAGCAAGTACGTTGATAAGTTACTTAATTAAGGAGAATGTCCGAGAATTTGCCGGCAAGCGACTCACACCCTTATATAAGCCTTTTTTAAGAATGGAAGAAAAATTGTAGAACGGAGTTTTCAAAAATTTGAAATATTTCCGTCACCAAAAAATGATGATTGCGACTTGCTCTAGAGAAATTTCAGAAGCTCGAAGCTTGTGTACCAACCTAATTTGAGCAATTCAATTAATTTTAGAAAGTCGTTATGTAGGTATTTTATATACCAAATATGATAAGGAAAATAGATCTTTTCACCTATGGTTTGCACCTCCCCTAGATCGCTGTGTTTTACATAAGATTTCATATCTGTGAACGTTATTTAGACCAGCCTTTTCCAGGTGTATATTACATTTGTCAGGTAATCGACCACGAAAGTTCACTATTGGACCTGTATTAATAGATGATATTAACTCTGACGTAATTACAAAGTTTGACGGAGGCATATAACCGGGGGCCCTTAATGGAGAACCGTTCCATTACATGGTTATATGAATGCATTTGACGTTTTGCATTGGGTTGTTATTGCGATCCGTTTCACTCTGGACGTTCAAGTTGAATTACTCGCCACGTTTAAATGGCGATTTTTGACCCATTAATTTCTTCGCATGTCGGGAGACATTTCGTTATTGGATTTAAAAAATGTTGGAAATTAAAAATGGAATACGCCGGAATCTCTCATAAGCGAACACGTTGCTCGAATGAACCCTCTTATCGACTCCCAGCGGCTTTCCATAAGAAACGCATTATCGCGATTCTCTCTTAAACGAACACTCTCCCTAACGGACGCGGACAATGTTTTTAACATACTTTACGACAAAAATCTCACCTGACACAAAAAAGTGATTAATAATTCAATTCCGTGCATAGTTCCGTTGACAAGAGGGTGTTAAAATAGCTAGATAAGAAAGATTGTTAAATCAAGTTCTAGAAATATCAGATAATTCTGATATTGAATTACTCGTAGCAAAGGTAGACAACAATATTCTAACCTATAGCGGAACTATGTTTAAAGTCCAATCCCTAAAGTTGTATTCTGAAGATCAAGGAGGTGGTAAAAGAAACATCCTGCAATTGTAAATTCAAATTTTTACTTTATAGAGAACACGGAATTTTTCACTAGTGTTCTTTTGTTGTTTTGCCTTCATATATGAATCTCGAGTTTGTTTCGTTAACCAAGTTAGTATCAGTCGGAAATATCAAAATTTTAATAATGGAGAAATTAAGTCTCCTCAAAAATACATCAGAATCTATTGCCGTAATCGCGTTTTTATTATTTATTAGTCAAACTTTAGTTATATTTTTTTATCACAGCTATTACCCATCACTTATTGCGTGTTAATTACAATTAAGCGAAACCAATTTGTAGCAATAGACGGACACACGGATTATGCACCTACAATAAACCTAATTGCTCTTATGAGGAGGTTTCGATTAGCCCATAATAGATGCGCACAGTATGGAAGACGCAAGGTAAGCGAAGGCGGGGACAGTTATCAGAAATAATCTTGATTAAGACGCTATGTCAAAAGTTATGTGTTTCACTGAATTATTTGAACATTACGCCGTTATGATGCATTTTTGTGGTGTCATGGACGCGAAAAACAGAAGTTTTGTTGGAGAAAATTTTCACTGAAACTTAGCAGCAGGTGTAATTCCTACACCTTGTGTTTTTTTAGGAAATTCAATATTATTTTTCGTTTCAGGGTAAAAATTCTTCACGGAAATGAATAATTGGCAAATAATGACAGTGACAAAAATCAGAATTCGTGTTTTTCTGTTGCACCCGTTCAAACTACGATCAACTTTTCCAAATAAATATTTTTTGGCTTGCACCCCATGTCTAAACATTTCTTACATTTTCCCAACTCCAAAGATATAAGGTGTTCTTTGAAAATTAGAAAACCATTGTTGTCAAACTGTTTCTTAAATAACTTTTTCACAAAAATTGGTGCCTATTTAACAATAGGCATAGGAGAAGTTAATAGTCACGAAATTATATATATTTTATTCAAAATGAGACATTTTCAAAATTATGTAGTTTTATACAGCTCAAACAATCCCAAAATTTACTATATACAATAATTTACAATATTACCCCATCCATGGCTACAATAAAATGGCTCTTCAGTATCAACAAATAACATTATTCAATCTTAGATACATTGAAGAGGTTCTTTGTTTGTTTGTTATTATGTGAAAGAAAAGTTTGAGAGTGCAGTCGAATTTTGTGATTAATGGTCGTAGACAAACTTGACACTAGCCGCTGCATAACCTGACCTAGTATTCGCGAATCTCATTTATACTATGTTTGGCAACGAATGAATGAAAAAGTTTTAATATAATCCGCCCCTTTTAAAATTCTTGATGTTGGTAGAACGTCACATTGCCAACAGTTCATTTTATTTTAGAACGATGAGTAAAAATTTAAACTTTGCGGAAATAGCAAATGCATTGATTGATAAATTCACTGGATTCGAATAAATCAAACAGTCGAAGTTGAAAACAAACTTGAATGAAAAAGGACTTGTGAACCGGGACCTAGTTCGACCGATACGGTCCGGAATTGGTTAAGGGTGGGTTTATTTTCCTTCACGGTTATTCGTGCTGATGCCGACCCTTTCCAATATTTACCCTTTGTTATCAATGACTTGTATCTTTCTGTTCGGAAGACCCAACACCCTTCACATTGTTAATAAACCCTCGAATTGCTTTTATGGCAGTTTCAATAATAATTTATTCTAATCTTCCATCCCACTTAAAATTAATAGACAACGGCGTTTCGTGTACCATTATTTTCGGGGATGTTTTGCTATAAATTCACTGGTCGGTCTATGGTCATCTTTAATTCCTGAGCCAATTGTACCTTATATGGATGAAGCGATAATTCATGATGCATTTTTTACCATTGCCATATATCAAAACTCAAAACCCAATATTTAAGTTGTAAAAAACAATTCAAGTTTTGACACCCGGCTATTCCCTTTAAACGGCACTAAATGCGCAGGAATGATCGTGACGTCATCCCGCTGCTTTTCGATGTTATAGCGTTATTCTCAGGTTATAGGCCGAGAATATTATTTACGTTTACTTTTGGCTCATCTAAAGGTGTGTTTGTATTTAATCTACGCCAGTTTGTATTTGTGATTAGTGTGCTTTACACGATAATAATGACAGCAACACAAAAGCAATATCACAAATCGTACCATCGTGTTTGAGTACAACCCGTAGAACGCCAGAAAAACTTTTTATTCATCTACCAAAAAATAAAAGCCGTCGTTTTTTGTTAACATTATGTTCAGGTGTGCAAACATTTTTAACTCTTCGAACTTGCACTCATCCTAGTACAGTCTTCATAGGAATGGCTTCCTGATCTATAGAAAATAAAGAAAAGTTATCAATACCAATATACTTTAAAATCAGTGTTTAGATTTCCACTAGTTCTTAAAAAAATCCTTTTTGCTTTTTTTTTGTTGAATAAATTACTTTTTATTTGATATACCATTTGAATTTTAAAAACTAGAAAACTTTAAGCTCATTACAATATTACATTGGTTTAAAGCTAGTGGCTAAATTTGCTTTAAAGATGCTTGGTCGCTTTAACACCGCGAACCTCAGCAAAAAAAAAACTTTCGGTGTTTTGTATGTAAGATGTCACCATAAACATATTCACTAAAGGTAAATTATCAGACTGAGTTTTAAAAAATCGGCTTAGGTCATTTTCAAAATTTTCTTTTTGGTGGTAAACACAAGATAATAAAAGCAAGCGAAAGGATCAAGTCGAAAATTAAAATTAAATCCACGAAGACGAACGCGTTCTCTAATGGCTTCTCTATGCGGCCGTCCGGCTGGCTCGTAATCTAAAGGGCGAATTGACGTCACAACCGGTCACAGCTAATGACAGCGCGCTTCAAAGAGGATTTAAATTTGAAAATTTTTAATTGCTTATATTTGTTACATAGAACTTGAACCTGTGTTTCTTTAATAGTCTAAACTTACTTGTATAAGCAATGTTTTGCAAATTAAAATTTGGTTCACTTTCCCTATCACCAGGTGGCATATCCGCCACTGTCAAAGTTTCCATTAACACTTTCTCGGATGCCAGCAATATTCCCAATGGATCTCATTTTTGCGCTGACATACATGCGCTGTTCGACCTGCCTCTAAACCAGTTTCTTCAAATTTTCTTCATTAAATGGAAAATTCCAGATCCAAAATTTGGTCGAAGTAAACGTTTACCGAACAGAACAATGATACTGCTTTATACTAAATATCAAGACAACCTGAATAGATCTGGCAGGTGTAGCCTTGTATATTACTTTTATGTGCGTCCAGCTTTTTTTCTGGATTTACTGAGAGTTAGTTTAACTGCGCTCTCCTAACTGTATGGTTTAGTCTTACGTTCTACGCACCTTTGTATTTTGCACAATTCGCCTTTAGTGATCTCATCCATCCAATTAAAAAAATACCACGGATTTGTTTAAATAAGGAGAACCTCACTGTAACGCCAGCTGAAGTCATCTCAAACGATCCCGTCGGATGCCTAATTCTCAACAATGTTCGTGGCGCCTAATATCGTATACCACCTAGGCGGGTAAAGCCGCGAGCTTTTTGTCTCGTCCCGAATTCAAACGAATGCGGATGCCATCGATTTTGTAAGTTTCATTGCTGCCGAGCTTGGAGATAGATGGCGCGACCTCAAGTTAATTAAAGACCCGGAACTCGCGACGAGAACTCCAGGCGGCGTTTTTTTCAAACAGCTGCAAGCCCGATAAGCATTCTATTCCATTCGCGCGCGATTTCTTTGAACAATGAATGGGACCCGATAAATTTCGAATCCAATAGGAACCCTCCCCTTCGACCGGCTAAGCATACAAACTTCTTAGGCAGAGATGCTTGATGAATTGCTCAAGCTATTTTTCGTCATACCAAAATTGAGTTCTTCTCACTCTATGACATTCTGTAAGGGAAATATCGATGCTTCAATATAAGAAATCATGGATAAATATATAACTCAAAAAATAGAGAAAGTAAACGAGAATCAGTATAATATAAGGCCACCAAGCAACTTAACTCCTCTTAGATAAGAGATTTAATCACATCAAATTTAATCACTAAAACCTGTTTTTTTTCATTAAACAGATTGTAGAACTTCAATTGTCTTTACTTTTTTTTTGTTTACGCAAAGTTTCGAGCAGATTTATCATTTTAGCTAGCCACTTCGAGCATTTTCGCTAGTCACGTGCCGCTCCATAAACAAATTACATATTTACAAATTATATATTCTTTTAGTGCTATGGTACAGATCGATTCACCGCCGAAAAAAAAACTTTTTTTGTCTGTTTCTCCGTTCTGTTTTCTGTCGATGCTCCATAAAAATGCGAATAACTTCCAAACGAGGCACATATATGAAACCGCCGCAATCAGAAATTTGCGACCATCTTAATATAATAAGTGTCCGAAATTTGCAGCTGTCGAGTTTAAATTTGGCACAAATTTAGAGCTTAGCTCGCTAAAATTTAAAATCCGCATTTCCTTTATAAAGATAATTGACAATAACTAAAAGGCTGTGATTCAATTATTCTTTTATATGACTATATAGCCCGTATGGCTAAAGCTTTTCTATTTAATATTTTCACATATTGTACAGAGTGTGCAGGACATTTCGTGCTATATTAAAAAAATATAATAGGTACCTCAAATGTGCAGTTATCGACTTCAAATTCATAGAAATAGTAAAACTATCACCCACATCTAAACTGTAAAACTTCAACGCAATCAAATATGGCTTAATATTTTTTTTAAATAGATTTGTTTTAAGTTATTTTGGCTTCCAGAAAAAAAGCATTTTCTAGAAAACTATTTACCCGATTGGCCAACTATTTAACCAGGAGATACGGAAGATCTGAAGCTATAACTTTTATTTCAGCCAGTTTTTCGATTATTGGCAGGGTTTTTCAATTATAGACAAAAATCTAATAGACTCTGAATATTATTCTTTGTGCCATTAAATTATTAGCCGTAAATCAAAATTCGTGTAAAATATGGCTATTTAGGTTTCACACTAATGTAGGTCGCATCGAGACTTACAATTTTTGTATTTACGGTTTTTGCCTAACGTACACGCTTGTCGAGATATTTTAAAAAGTTCATATGACAGTCACCGTATCTCGTATTTGATAGACGCGATGACGTCATTTCATGGTTTCAGAAAACAAGTAGTTTCTCGAAAACCATTTACTCTATTGCAAAAATTCATATACCAGGAAACGAGGCAGATCCAGGGCTTTTACCTACGGCATTTTTTGAATTATTTATAAAGATCCTGAAAATTGCCGATTTCTTGGGTAAATTATTAGGCGTAAATGAAAAATTATAAAACATGAGACAATTTCGTTCAAACTGTATAAGTAAATTGTGTCGAGAGAGAATTTCAGGTTTCGTCTATCATACAGGATGCGCGAGATATTTGGAAAAAGGACTCTTTATGCAGGGTGTGTCCACAATAAAATTACATCGATTTTGCGAAAGTGGTCAGCAGGAGAACGATAGAAAAACAATGCGTTCCTATAAGACAAAATAAAAAACACAAAGCTGCGTAGTCACTTTGTAGACTATGAAGTGCATAGTACAGAGCAGACGCTTCGTACAGCCACAATTTTGTTATTAAAGCTCCAGTTAGTATAGAAAGCGTAGATTTTACAACTTGTTTATATGCCTCCGGAGCGACAGTCTACCTTCATCATGATTCCACAAACAGAAACGGAACTCACTAAATACGGTCCATTCCATCCCTGCATACATATACGCAAATTGCAAATCAAATTTCCTATATTTGCGAATAGTGCCGGCAGATTGGGAGATTTATGAGTTGCGACTACGAATTTTCCAAGTAAATATAAGCAGTGCGGAGGCGACATTCGCACAATAATCGCCCTAATTACTAGTTGCCATTTTCTCAAAAGTAGTGTGATGAATCTCACACATTATCCCCAATGTCATTCGAAAATTGTCGATTTGACTATATACAAATGTTCGAATGGATTCCGATAAAGACCGTTTATTATGTGCTCCCCTGACACATTGACAAATAAAATAATAGCTAATGACCCTTAGTTGGAACCGTGCGGTTGTAGTACATATGCCGTAGTAACCATAACTAAGGCTGTGACTATTATTCGGTTGTCTGGCTTGAACTTAAACAGATAAGTATTCCTTCTTAACTACGTTTCTGATCTTACAGCCGTGTTGGGAATATCATACATATCATACATCACTTAATATAAATGGCGAAAAACGAAAGAACGATAGGATAAAGAAAAAAAAACATTTCTGTAAGTTACGTCTAGAAAAAACGAAAAATATGTTAAATAATTTTGGCTTATTCTGCATGATATCATTTTTTTCACATGGTGTAACATGGGTCAGTGTAACTGACATCTTATCAAAAAGTTACTTACTTCACTTGACGGTTCGTCAGATTCCCCTTTTTGGGGGAAAATTTGAAATGTCGATCCCGCACACACCCTCATTCATAGAACGGATATATGGTACATGTTCAGCAGTTAACAGATTTTAAAATGCACAGTAGTAAATATAATAATTTAGTTGACGAAAAATTAAGTTGCTGGTAGACGTAGTCCACCCTAAAGCTGGACAAATAGCTAATTGTAAGCAGAGCTTTTTGCTTTATTATAAAATTATTCGTCTATCGATAGATAACGATTCAAACATAATATTTACAATCATTGATAAGGTATGATGCGCTAACCAAAACTAAGCGCCTACGAAAAATTTGTATTAAATTATCAAATTTGAATTTTGTAAATTTGTGCCAATGCTCATTTTACTTATCGATTGAAAATTAATGATTGTACTTTGCTGCATCTATACATTCCTGTTTAAAATGTCAGCCTTCTTTTTCCGCCTTGGGTGTCTAATTGTCTAGTTTTTTCATTTATCCCAGTTGCTTCGTATCTGTCTAATCAAGCCGTTCTACATACCGATTACATTACATTTTTCGATTAACAGGTACATGCCACCGGTAACGCCCTCTTTATGGAAGAACACGAGACTGGCCGATAGATTCGGAGCTGTGTGCCCTCAACGACCTCCGGATATAGGTAATCGATCAGAAGCCTTGCTCGAATTTCCACGAGGTCGTCTCTACTACCTGGAGAAACTCCTGCCCTTTTTAGTCAACCAGAGTGAAGATTGCCTCTACCTTAATGTCTACGTACCAAGAACCGGTCAGTATAATCGCCGCATTTAATTAAAACCCTAAGTTTGCACTCCTGTTTAATCAGACCTTTGATAATTGTTATGGTTTTCCAACAAACCATTTCGGCGTAAATTTTCTTTAGGGGAGCTGAAAATTGTACCGCTCTAATTCGAGCACTAACCATTAAATATGATGTTGCGGCGGTTGTGCGCCTATTAGAGTTTCCATAATTAAAATGATCCGTTGAAATTAGAGTCTGACGCTATTGGAGCGAAGGTACCGTTAGTTTTATCCCCAGCTAGGGGATTTTAATGCAACACGCGAAAGCAGGGTTTAAGAGACAAGCTGAAATGCGAAGTCGTTCGAATATTAATTTATTAATCCCAGCTTCGGAGTTGTTAACATTAAAAAGCAGAGAGCTGTAGCCCAATACGATAGCAATGGTGGATGCAGAAACGTATAATGCAAAGTATAAGGTTTAAAGGAGGCTACAAAACAAAAGTAAAATTTCTAAAAAAAAAAATATCCGTTAAAGTTAAAGAAAAAAGTTTTAAAACGATTTTAGAAATGAAATGTTAGAAACATATAACGTATACATATTATATGAAATAACATACAGGGTATTCTATTTAAAAATTTATATTAATAAATTGACATTTTTAAACATATACTTTCACAAATAACTTCCTAACATAAGCAAAAGTTGTATTTCTTTAAACATCTCCCATAATATAACTAATTCCCCTTAATAAAAAAAAATGTTTTACAGACATACAGAACAGCATAGTACATTTACTTGGACTTGTTTCATTTATTTCTGATAAAAAGCTACTAACGTTAGCATTGGCCGCACAAAAATTGTCAAATAGTATATTATGCAACAAATTTGAAACACGGGAATTTAATTACGAGTTTGGTGTGGGGATAAGCATTAACTAAAAAAGTTTACCCACTAGTTTTACCAGAAAATGATACAACTTCAAAATAATCAATATTTTGAATGTAAATATTGTATGTAATGTAATATATTTTTAAATGCGAATTTAGTTATTTTTGTTTTAAGTAGTACAACTTATAAGTCTTGATTCTTTAAAGAAACATTATAGACAAACGGTTTTTTCACTGGATTATGTTATCAAGACTGTTTAGTTTCCTTATATAATCAAATACTCTGGATCAGAATGATAAAAAATTATGCTCTTTTATTTCAAGCGAGCTTTTGATGTACTTGATATTAATTTGTTGTTGAATAGGCTAAATAATTGTGGTATACGGGGAATAGTTACGCCTGGATTGAGTCATTTTTGAAGGGTCGTGACAAAAGAGTTGTGCTTAGAAGTGATACTTCTGTGATTAGATGCTCATCTAAAGAACTTACCAGCGGTGTCCCACAGGGAAGCATACTGGCACATTTATTATTTAAAATATTTATTAATGATAGATCTGATTCTTTCCCATACAATTATGTTTCCTTATATGCAGATGATACTGCTGTGGCAATGTCATCTATGATTGTGGAAAATCTCACGTCCTTGGCCACTAGGGCAGTAAGTGGTACGACCCGATATTGTGAGGGTAACGGTATTGAGCTTATTGGTTAGAATAAAGGATAAATCTATTAATCAGACTAACATTGTCAAGTCTTGTTCATGGACAGTAATTTGTCCTGGACAGGCCAAATTGACTACGTATTAAACAAAATGGCTATGCATACTTTTGTTATTTGGCGACTGCGGTCGAGTGTGGATCTTCAGCTTTTACATATTTCAATCTTGCTTATCTTACGCTATTATATGCTGGGAAAACTCCTCCAGAGCTAGTGAAGTTTTTGTCAAACAAAAACGTATTGTTCGAACAATGTTGGGGAAGTCTCGTGGTCACCCCTTCTCCCAAAATTAAATATTTTAACGTTTCATTGCATTGCATTGCATGACCAAAATTAATTTTAATCTTAATCTTAATTTTGCAGGTGACAAGTCATAAGTTAGCCAAAGTAGCTGACAGCCCTGTGATTTTACCAATAAAACTATGTAATAAGTTGTCTTTGTCCGTCAAACAGATATTGCCTGTATATTTATTTAAGCAAAAATTAAAGCTCATTTTGAATAAGAATGTTTTTATTCTATCGATGAATACTTTGATTGTCGTAATGCCGATCTCTCAGTGTGATATACTTTTTGTGTTTTTTTTTCTTTTGTTGATGTATGTTTGTACGTATCTGTTTTTAAAGTTTGTATTTTAGTGTTCTAATGTATTTTTTTTACTTGCTGACATTATCCCATACTTTTGTTGAAAGTCAATGGAAATAAACATTATCGCATCTTGTCAAAGGTAAAAGTGATACATGTTTTTCAACAAGCAATTTCATATCTAGCTTAATTTGATGGTCGTACGATCAAAATCAATGGAAATTACAATGGTTGTTTTATCCCACAAAAATAAATATGTCAAAATAAATGAAAAATGAATGTTACTACAAATGTAAAAGGCGCTGTTTTAAATTTTAGTGCAAAAATTATTAATTTAATACATTTATATTATTGACATAAAACTACAAGCATAGGTGAGCTGGTGAGATTAATTAATTTGTCGGTGAGTATAACAAGTTCCTCCAATGTACGAAATGCGGATTAGCATTTTCTCAATCAATCATTTCCCGACGAAAAGTAGCCGTGCATAAAATGTGTAGACATCCTCGAGTAATATATTAAACTAAATCCTTCAAGGATTTTCAAGCAAATCCAAAGTGTGAACCGGAGAAAATAAATTCGTTTTCTCTCGATCGTCGTCGCAGTCAGCTCATACAAACAAGGCGGGAGGAGCTCTCTTATATGTGTGAGATCAATGAATGCCCAAGGCAGGATTAAGTGACGGAGTGTGTGCCTTCAATTCCGTAGTGCATTGCAGTGTTTAAAGAATTTAACTGCAAGCAGTGCGGGAATGAGGGTAACGCTCGTCGAAAACCACCGCTGCGAGTAGGAGAGAAATGCCAGGGTTTTTTGTTCGATACGTGTCCCGTCTAATATTGGATCGCCTTCGTTGTTTACGATACATAATATGGAGTTTCTCAGTCGTCTCAATGGCTATGCCATTATTCGAGTTAAATATTAATCGTTCATTGTAAATTTCTGCTAAGGACAAGTTATGTGTACAGGAATGCTAAATTATAGTGAAGGTTTCACTAATTAAATATATACATTGTACCGGCTATTTCAGAATATGATTGACTACTGATTGACATTTATTTTGGTATTCGGAAGATATTTGGTAGGCATTGGGAACAAAAAATCAGTCCGCTTATTATTAACTTTTAAACACAATCTGTAAGCTTTCCACAACAGAAACTGAACTAAAATTGTCATCTTTTATTTAGATTCTTTTTTCATGATATTGTTTTATATCTAAGTGAGTTTTATTTTTCCGTTTATATGTTTTTTGAACACCTACTAAATTCATTTACTATTTACAACCACCAGTATATATCTGGGATGAGTTGGATAAGAGCAACGATGTTGGATGTGCCCTCATTGAATAAAATTCTGTTTGAACATTGTGTTCAATTGAATAAAGGCTATTTATTATTGTTCACTAAAATTAGGGTACTCTGATTTCTAAAAATATGAAAACAAGTTTCTGGAGTTCCATTTATTTGTAGGAAGCTTGCAGATCAGCAAGAATGCGCATGTCTTTCTCGCTTGATGATGATAAAAGGTTTGAATGTATTAAATATTTCATTATATTAGAATTGTGGTAAATAAAAGCCAGTGGCTTAGATAGAGGGCGGTTTAATTTTGGGGCTTTTTCCTAGCAAATCCGATATAATTTAAGCACACTTCTAAAAATTGATACTTGTAATTGATTGTATTTAACTGTAAACCAGTTTTGAGGCATTTTTAAAATGCATGGAAACGTCAAACGAATATGCTGTAAATTACCGCATTCCATTTTAAGATCTTTACTAATTTGGGTTCATATATGTGTTAAGTACAAGACTCTTCTGAAGAAAACTGGGTGCAATTTTTTTTAACCTATCACAATTTTCAACTGTATCGATACGGAGAACCAAAAGTTTTAGTTAGTTAGCTTAAAAAATACAAGGGTGCTAAAGTTCTCAAAAAATTATAGATTTGTATACTTAATGAATCAATATCAAAAAAATATCAAAATTAGAATTAAACACAAGTAATTATAATCTTATGAGTTGGAATCTTCAATAGGTTAAGCTTTTTACTTAGCGAAGATATTTTAACCATTTTAAGTTTAATTTTCAGCAAGTGGCGACGAAGAACCAAACCTGTTGCCTTGCGTGGTTTACGTGCATGGAGAGAGTTTCGAATGGAATTCTGGCAATCCTTACGATGGAACAGTGCTTGCATCCTCAGGGAAAGTCATCGTAGTGACTATTAATTTCAGATTAGGCGTTTTAGGTAAGTTGTAAAAATGATTTTATTTTAATTATCAGATTCGGAACTTTTTAAAAATCCCGCTAGAGGTAGAATGTATATTGTATAATTCCAACAATTTCATTATATTTCATTTTCATTATATTCACGTTAAGCGTAATGGTTAAGTTTGTCAAACTTAAAACACCAAAACCGATTGCCACTCCACTGAACATTGTAAACTGAAACTACTATGAAAGCAGGGACAAAAATTTTGACACACGACATTATCGATGTATCTCGTTCTTCTTAGCCCTCCGTAGTTAATCCACAAGTTGACGTATCATCAATAATTTTTATTTATGATTCTGAAATATCGTTCAGCCCCTTGGCTTTAAAAATATTGATTAATTATCCTGAATGAAATTTAGGATTTGGAAAGCAAACTATAATACCTCTTGCAATCAAGAAGTATTTCAAAAATGATCGTTGCTTTCTATAAATTAAGGCGAAACAGAACTAATAAGTGGCTACGCCGTTCTATTTATGGTTCAATGTTTAATAGTGAATCTATTATAAGAAACATTGTTTTATTATACCTAAATGCATGTCATTTTTTGCCGAATTACCCTTTATTTCCCCCTTCAATACTTTTAGCAATGTTAATCTTCGCTTTTTTGATTCGGTGGCCATATGACTTAGAGAAATATAAATTTTTCATTAAATAAAAGTTCTTCGCAGTTTCCGTGGCACCGAGCAAAAATTATGATTTCGATTATTACAAAACTTCTGGATTCCTCCTGCATCGGTTTTTGCTGAGTCGAACTTGCTGACGTTTCTCCAATCATCCTGTTGGCTTCTTCAGAGCTTGACTGACTTGACTGATTTGTTCCCTTAAAATTGTATATTGCAAAATTGTGGGTATATCTCAGTTAGAAAGATGCTTTTTCTGTATGATTTCCCAGATATGCGATTTATAATCATCAGCTCTAAAGGATGAAAATTCACATAACCTTAAGCAAAAATTTTGTAGCAATAAGGATTCTCAATACTAGGATTTTTGTATTAGACTTAATCTACTTTTTAATTGAGTGCTGATCCAAGTTTTGGGCCCTTTGTTGGTCTTCGTGTTTCTCCTAGATCTAGATTTCTCACAAGCCGTTTCATATCAGGAATTATGAATTTCACTCTTTTCACTCTTTTCTTTCACGTTATGCCATTCTTTCGAATAAACTTGGTGTTCTTGATGTCTTTGTGTCACTTGGTTATTTTCTCGAGCAGCTGGGTGCACTAAGTATTAAGTAGCATCCGGATTTCAATCGTTGGTTGGTTAACTGTGCTTAAATCTTAATTACTTGTGTTCGATTTTTCTAAGCTTGATAGTTCGATGAAAAAAAGTGAAATCGAAAAAATATAAACACTGGGAAAGTAATTTTCACCGCAGTATTCTGCAAACAGTTGTACAGAAGTAGCCAATATCTATGTATATGGTTCTACCACTAACCTCTTTTAGAATAATTTTATTGCCACTATTTTTCTGACGAACTTTACACAGCTTGTTTGAAAACATCGCATAGTAAAACCACGTGTTAAGGTCATATTGCTATTTAGGTTTCCTTAAAACGGGGGCGAAGGGTAGCGCGCAGGGAAACTTCGGATTGATGGATCTCGTCGCGGGGTTGCATTGGCTCAGGGAAAACTTACCGGCCTTCGGGGGAGACCCCGAGCGAATTACTCTCATGGGACATAGTTCCGGTGCTGCCTTAGTCAACTTCATTGCTGTCTCTCCAGTGGCAAAAGGTAAGTCCATGAAATCAAATAATTACAAAATAAGCTCGATCTTTGTCCCCTTTTCTCAATGACCTCTTCTCTGCCATAGGGAATTATTTTCATATTATACACACTGTCGAGCTTTTGACTCATCTGTAGGTTATGCCAGTTATTATTTCATGGGTAGCTTTATTTAGTGAATTTGCTAAAGACTGTGTTTTATAAATCACATCGCCAGGTAGATATTTCCCTAATATGTTCAACCAATAATTATATCACTGGGATGAAACTGGTCGTGGTCTTCAATTTTTGTTTTTACCTTATTAATAAATATTTATTATAATTGGACCAGTTATACGTATCTCTGTTTCTGCTCAATCCTTTTATTGTTGCAGATCTCCTACATCGGGTGATATTGTTTAGTGGATCCGCTCTAAGTCCGTGGGCAATTCAGAAAGACCCGCTTTGGATCAAACGAAACGTCGCGAAGCATACAGGTTGCCACGGCGATTTGTATGAGGATGATATGGCCCCTTGTCTAAGACTGAAATCTCTCAATCACTTGCTTAACGTTAAAGTGGACACCCCCAGGTTTCTAGCAGGTATGACATTTGCATTTGATTTTGCGATAGTATAAACTCTAAAATATTTTTAAAAAAGTATATGTGCATAATATTTAGGTGATACCGATTGTCTTGATTTTTTATGAAAGTGTCCTTTAAATCCCCAGTTTTAGTTTTTATTTTGTATCATAGCAACTGTGTCCATTTTTTTCTTCTTTTTATCGGAGAACACTATTTGTAACAAACATTTTGTTATACTGTTCATCAAGATTGGGTTGATTGCCATTCCAGAGAGAAAGTTCAAAAAATAAACTTAGATAAACTTAGATTGAACGGACAAGATTTTAATTTAAAATTAATTAAATATAAATCAATAAAATTTATCAGGTGATCAAAACAAGCAATATAGGCGATATGAAAGTATTATGTCAAAATAACGAACATCAACAAAGAATAGACGAGACACTGTTTTCTCACCGTAGCAGTGAATTAAAACGGAGACGATGCGTGGGTCGTAAAATTCAATCGCAGTTTTTTACCCACGAATGTAGCAAACTGAGGATAGAAGTGGGCAATGTTTCGCTCAGATAAAAAAACGAATCTTTATTTCCAAATTTATTTTTAAATTGACAAAACGTTAAAAGCTTTTTTTTAATTTATTATAAGAATCGTATTGGTCGCTATTCTTGAATTTTAGGAAATAAGAATGTTCTGAGCAAAAAGCCAACAGATGGTGTGTTTCCCAAAAAGTTAAATGCAGTATTTAGGAGAAAAAGGAAAGATTGTAACCTAGAAATTTGTTTTTTTTCTTTTGTGTCAAATTCACAGTATTTTTACAACTGAATTAATATTTTGTTCAAATATCGAAATAATAATAGAATACGTTAACTTTTGATTTTGAGGAGGAGTAACAAAATCATAATATATTGTGGAGGGTGTGATAATATTACCGACGTTCGTTGGTGGAAATACTGATGAGAAATTTGTCAACATAGAACTCTTTATCACTGTTCCCATTTCTATTTCGCCATTTCAAAAATAGAGGTTTTTGGTTTCCAGAGAAATCCAAAAAATCTCCCTAGAGGGTAAAATATTTACTTTTATCAGTGATACTGGCTGGAACATGAGTTTATTTCATCCGTATGCTCTTGCCAACGACCGAGCTATTGCTAGTACTCTTGTTCATCTAACCATTTTCCTTGTTTCCGATAAAGGTTTCGCACCGTTCGTCGATGGCACAATCCTCGTGAACCCCACTTATGCCCCACCGGGTGGATCGTCAGCGACGATAGCAACATCTCCAGGTTACGAGTGGGCAGATTTTTCCGAACGCGGCCTAATGTTCGGCCTTACGAGCACGGAATCGTATTTGGACTTGAACGCCCAGGACTTAGAGTTCGGTTTCAACGAATCGAAACGTGATCGTGTTTTGAGAACGTACGTGCGAAATTCGTATTATTTTCATCTGAACGAGATCTTTTCGACGCTAAAAAACGAATACACGGACTGGGAGAAACCGAGTCAGAACCCTTTGAGTGTGCGTGACGCGACTCTGGACGTGTTGAGTGACGGTCACACTGTCGCGCCCCTGATGCGAGTAGGGTACTTGCACGCGTTGGGAGGAGGCAAAACTTTTTTTCTCCACTTCCAACATCATTCGGGGGAGAGAGATCTACCGATGGTAAGTGTTGGGTATTTCCAGTGCGTAATACCTGTGGAATACCTTCATACTGTACACAATAATTCCTCTGCGGTACCCCTCGACTTGTAACAGTTAAAATACGATCGCAAAGGTACTTCAGCGCTTTCAATATTAAAAGATAATCGATTCGTTAGCTTTTTTTGTTTAATCCGGTGTTTCCCAACGTGGGGCCCAAACCCCACAAGGGGCAATTTGAAAATTAAGGGGGGCTATTTAAATGTTAGATGCATGCTAGATATCGCTGATAACAAAAAAGCAAAATCATAAAAAAATACTGCAAATAATTATTAGGTATAATTTCGTTTGACGCGACTAACATGCTAACTGGGGGATTAGAGTCCTCGGGGATTCACTGCAGAGTCCGCACAAGAGTGAAAACAAATTATTTGTCACAAAAAGAGGGATTTCAAGTATATATCTGCATTTGTAAGTTAGATTTAGGCGCAAGAAGAGGCGAAAAAGCAGATTCTGACTGGAATCTTATCGAAATCAGCAACTATTTGACTCAGAAGGGAGGTTTTACACCGATATCTAATGGTTTATAAAGGTTTTCGTTACTATAATACTTAAAGACTTGCCCTGGGGAACCCCAGATATTTGAAAACTCGCTAAACAACGCTGTTGTCCGCACCTGATCGACCCAACTCAACTTCTGTAGTGTTTCACACAGTTGTTGTTAATTTGAATGAGTGTCCATCAGTTAATCGTTGATTTAATAAATATATTTATATATGTTGTTTAGATATAATTGGTAAGTATTTGATTTTATTTATATTTATTTTAATTTTAGGATCATTTGGATTTCCAGAAAATTGTATCAACTGGAAAAAATATAGTTAACGTTTTATAGATATAACACATATTTTACCAGATTTTTTTTTAAATTTGGTTTCATACCCGCTGTTCACTATGAGCGGATGCCTTTTTATCCTTTTTGCCAGCAATGCTTGACCAACGAATCAATGAAACGAGGTCGTCTTTAAACGCATTTGAAGATTTGAGTTACTCTAAAACTTTAAAGAAACATTTCTAAGAAAGAACAACATTAAAGTTTCTATTTACTGCTCGTTCTTCAACTAGTAATTGTCTTACTGATGCTAATTATAAAATTTCTTTATTAATTGCTAAAACTGGAAAAAATCACACTATAGGAGAGAATTTCTTAAAACGGTTTTGGAAAAAGATAACAGAGATGTAAAAGTTCAACAACATTCAGTAACAATACTGTTACTAAAAAAGTAGACGAAATGAGCGAAGAAGCTGAAAACAAGAAAATTCTCAGTGCAAATGGATGAATCAACATTGAGAAACAGCGAGGCTATATAAGATATATTGATGATTCTGCTGAAGCAATATTGCAGATGGCGCCCCTAATATGATGAGCAAGAAAAATGGCATATGAGACTTTTACTTTACACTGAAGTAAGATGGAAACTGCTTGAAAAGATTTATGGAACTGTTTGATACTCTTAGTGATTTTATAAGCGACAAACCTGAAATGAAATACTTGTTATCAATCAATGGTAAAGCATTTGTAAGTTATTTAGCTGATATCTTAAAAAAAACTAAATGTATTAAATAAGCAACTTTAAAGAACAAATAAAACACTTGCCGGCGCCAATAGAGTTAGTTATATCAGAAACATATTAACAACAAAAACTTTGAACAGTTTCTAACTAAATTGGAACTTGATATTAAATCTCTATGCGGCAAGCATCCAGCGCAAGGATCGCACTAAATTAGTATAGAAAATATGTATTAAAATTATTTTGAATTTGACCTTCACTTTTTCATTATATCATTATATGTTTTAAAATATTATTTACTGTTTTTTGATAGTAATTTCATTTTTATTTCTTAAGTGAACAAATTATTTTTTTAATGTCAAAAACGATGTATTGGGGGCATACAAATTTTAGAAAATAGTTGGGAAACACTGCAAGCAGTATCGAAAATGCGCTTATGAAAAGTTTTCAAATCATGTCGTTTTACATCGTGTTCTTTAACCTCATGTTTCATAACCATCGTGTTCTTAAATCTCTGATAAAACTGGTGGAATCAAAACAGTACGTTTTTTACCAAAATCCTCAGCAACTTCTGTACGCCATATTTAAGAAACAAGATACATGATGACCCTATCTGAATAACTCAGAACATTTTTTACACAATTCTTAAAATGGAAATTCCAATTGAAACCAATTTTTAAGACTATAAAAAAAACACAAATTTTGAAGGCGTACCAAATTGCTAATATGTGTCGCTGATTCGATGCTTTTTAGAGCAGAAAAAAATGGTCAATCAATAATCTTTAAAAAAAGTGTTATAGCGTAGCACTCTGCATATTTAACGCTCCAAATTCATCAGTTGGTGACGTATCCCTTTAACAGATTCGCGTCGTGTTAAACTCCAGCGCATGTGATTGCTCTTTCCCGAAATTGTTGAAATCCACAATTGTGAGAACATGAACTTTAGCAGACGCGAGTCTTTTTTCTCACGTGTTCGATCGGTACAAGCGTGTTATTACAAACATCTTTTATTCTTTATATAAGTTGCTTTTTCGCTAATTGTGCGATTTGTATAGAGAGCTAGCAGCGTGCGCGGAGAAGATTTGCCTTATATACTGGGATTGCCTTTGATAGGCGGCGGTCCTTTTTTTCCGCACAATTACAGCCACGGCGACGTCGGAGTCTCCAAAACGCTTATACAATACATCAGCAATTTTATCAAAAGTGGGTGAGTAACAAATTCAAGTAGACGCATTCTGATACAGTATATTGCTTACTTTTTAATTATTCATTGGCTGATGTACCTTGCAATTTATCTTGATAACATTTTAATCCGCTGTAACTTTTTTGTTTTTAAAGATGTCAAGCTAAACAGAAAAACGAAATGTAGGGTTAATAGCCAAGTTTTTTCCAAGTGACGTATAAAACAAAACACCATCAATCATATAAGCTTACATCATATTGTTTTAAATGGAACACCAGATATATGATATATGTGTTTAATAGAATATCTTATTCCGATTACAATGATGTAACACATTTTATACAACGTTGATTGTTGAATTATTGTTCAAGTCATTAATGCATCAAGTATAATTTCTAAATAATAAAAGTACAACCGCAGCTCGTTATCAGCATATAAGACATTATTATCCAGAGCGCGGAACTCCTTGAAACCAGATATTTTCAAGGCTGGCAAAGAACCGTACTAAATGCTAAAAAGGTATGCCGGAATCATAATGTTTTAAATGAACAAAATAAGGCAAACATATTAAGATTAAGAAACAGGTATTTCTCGGGGATCAATCCACTCAGGTTTTGAAAGAATATTAATATAATTTTGTAAAATTTCGTAAAACTCAAAAACTAAGTGAAGAACAATGCTTGGATTTTTTAAATAGACATAATGAAAATAATAATTTTCTGAAAAATATTTTATGGACTGATGAAAGTTCATTCAATACAAGAAAGGGTTTTAATAGACAAAATACGCGATAATGGTCTTTAAGTAATCCAAGACAAATACACGAAATAAAAACCCAGGGGTACCAATCGACTAAAGTATGGTGTGGTGTCATAGATGGGCATATTTTGGGTCCGATACTTATGGATCAAAAGTTAACTGGAGTTCAGGAGATCTTTATTTGCAACTCTTAGAATACCAAATAGAACAATACATAGGAGATTTACCCCTAAATATATCAGCGCTGATTATATGGCAGCAAGACGGTGCCCCACCTCACAATGTTGTGCAAGTTAAAAATTTTCTTAACATAGAATATCCCAGGGGTTGGATAGGGAACGGCGGAACTATGGATTGGCCAGTCAACAGCCCCGACTTAACGTTAATGGATTTTTTCTTTTGAGGACACATAAAAAATCACGTGCACAGAACTCGTCGTGGAACTTCGGCAAATAATTTCAAAGGCAATCAATCAGTTACGAGACAATCCGGAAACGTTACTAAATGCAAGACATCATACAATTAGAGTGTATGAGAAATGTGTTCATGAAAATGGTGGTCACATGCAGCAGTATTTAGAATAGTTAAAGAATTTTTTACTTTAGTATGTCTTTTTATTTTTAGTGTTTTTCTTCTTCTTTAATTTGCAAATGATTATTGTTGTTGCAGTCAGTCACGGCACTCTTTGAATTGATATAAAAATGTATTATTTACTTTATTTATTAAATAAATTATAATCGGAATAGGATATTCCATTAAATACATGTATAATATACAGGGTGTTCCATTTGAAAAAATATGATGTAGGCTTATATGTCAAAAAATTGATGGTGTTTTGTTTTATACGTCACTTGGAAAAAAAATTGGCTACTAATCCTACATTTCGTTTCATTGTTTACCTTGGTATCTCTATAAACAAAAAGTTACAACCAATTAAAATGTTATCAAGATAAATTGAACGCATGGTACGTTTCTCTCGATTTATATTTATAAGGTTCAAAATGTTGCAACTGAATAACAAGGTTTGATTTATGATAAACTTTATTAATTTCTTGTAAGCTCTATATTAGGTTAAGACGACTCTTGAAAATCAGGAAACACTTTACAAGAAACTGAAAAAATATCTATGACATATTTGCTCTAATGTTTTCCGGCAATAAAATATGGCGGTATCATCAGCGTCGTTTGGTATCTATCCACCGCTCTCTTGCAGAATATCTTTTTGCTGGATCCACACTACTCTCGTGACTACTATTAATCTTACTCTGCACATTGAACTAAAGCATTTCATACTCTATTACAAAGAATAAGTCCAATTTGCAATGTAATGGTTAGCGAGTATTATGTTTTGAGCATTATTGTAAATATTATCACGCTCGGTCCGCATTTTAACAGTTTCAATTAATTATAGAGGGAAAAAGCCAATCAGGAAACAAAATTTATTTATGTTTTATTTCATTATTTTGTATATCATGTTCGAGTTCTAGAAGACTCCACGAAGTTTCGCTACATAAGTTTGTAAGAACAATTGAACTAAATATCGGGATTTTTGCTCATTCAATCAGCTTCCCGTACAATCTGGAAATCTTATATTAGCAGAGGTTTAAGTATTTCGTTATTCTGTACTGTAACTGAGAAGTGGCTCTTTAGATGATTGTTTTGTACGTTTCCATTAGATTATGCGATACTTTTTTGCGGACGTTATTTATACATAGTATTTATGTTTATTTGCTTCTTATAGCAGTCTCGTTATCGTATTCGCCCCCCGATTTTCAGTAAACGCTTTTCCGTTTCAATATTTACCTCAGGCCTTTTAAGTAAAACGCTCCACCGCAGGTTTCTTGCGAACGCTCCGTAGAGTCACTTAAACTTACACGAAATTCGGGTACCGCGAATGATCAAATTAGTTATTCAATTAAGCGGGGTAAACCGGCGGAGTATATATTACCGGCAAATTGTCCGGGAGGGTGTTACCCGCCCGACCCTGAACGCTGTGGCAGGGCTTAATTAAGGCTTCCGGATCGAGAATAAATTTTGGCCCCGGGGAAAATTCGACTCTCGCTTTTCAGGTGCGAAATTTATTGTACGAGTTTCCAGACTTTGTCGTCATCAAATCTATCTCGCGCCGTTTAACGAGGCCGCTTCATACAGGCACTGCTACGAATAGAGAGAACAAGGGGAATTCTCGATATTTCTACCAAACGTCTACACTACTTACAATAAACCATGAAATTTAGCCATTTTCCTGTAATCTAGATTAAGGCATGCAGAATTAGTATCAACATACTTACATGGAACGGCACAATATGAAAGATCAATTACTTATCAACTCTGCCGCAGCTACAAGAAAGTACCAAAGGAGATTTCTACTATCGTCCCATCGCTCTTATAGAATTTACTTTATTTTGAATTCTATTATACGTTATTATTGATTTATCTCAAATATTTTGGCAAATACGATTATCAAATCTAGTCGAAACCATTTTGAAATTCGCCTGTATGATATTACATATTCGGATCGAACCTAAAATTATAAACAACTTTTGTTTTGAGACTATATCTATAAATAATATAATTTAAGACTATTGTTTGAAAATTGGACGTCAATTCAATTTAATGTCTACTCCCTCAAACGAGTCTATGCTTTAGATAATGAGCTTTTCGCAATTTCCAAAATTCAAAATTCGCATTTTTATAGTACCACATTTTCAAATATGCCAATGACTTCCGTTATTGTATGCTCTTATATCAATTTTTTTTTCTAATATTTTAAGTTTTTTAAGGTTCATTAGTTCTCGAAGTATATTCCCTGATTCGATTATTTGTGACACAGTGTATGGAGTGCACATGAAATGTATTTCTCAAAATACACTTGAATCTGTTGGAAGTATTAGGTATTGGAATAACTAATCGATCCAACTCATACGGAATAAGAGAGAAATAAAATTTTGCATGGTTTTAAAGACCAATTCAACAGAGTAAGATTAATTTGCTTGGCAATTCAGTTTTCTTTTTTCCACACAATTAAATAATCTCTTTTTTATTGCGAGATAGTTAAAAAATATTATTGAACTGCAAAACTTAGTGGTCTTAGCCGTATTCCGTTGTACCTATGATGATGTTAAAGGTTCCGAGACGCACTTACCTGAGCAAATTTACTTTCCGGTAGTTGTTGGTAAAATTGCGGTTTCTAAAAATGACAAAACTAAATACTCTTAATGTGTTTAATGCTCTTCGCCAAAAAAACTCAACATTCGAAATGGCAAAAATAGTTGAAATGTGGTTGAATGGAAATAAAGAATGTGGAACCTGATAACATGTCGGAGAACACTCTAAAGTCCCTTATTATTTTTCTGACTGCCCGGAACATGATGACTAAAATTTAAAAATGAATTTGTATTGTATATAGTAGATTTTTTTTAAATAATAACAATATTTATTACTATTGATCAATTTTCATTTTATTTTTTTATTCTGTTTTTAATTACCTGACGTTACCATAAATATTATTATTATATTTATTGTTTTAATAAACTACATGTACTAACGCTCTCGTCACATTACTTAGGAACACGTTAATTTAGGAACGAGGTGTGTAGGTCCTCACAAGTGAAATACAGAAAACTATCATTGCAATTCAACTGTACTTTGCGATAAGTACATCGTACGTTGCGTGCGTAAGTTGTCCACCCTGTTTAATACTCCCTATCATTGCAAAGTTACATTTTACTACTCTCTCGCGTTAAGAAACCAATAGTACAATAAAAGAAAAATATTTTTTAAATTTCAATTTTTGTCTAATTTTCTGTGAAAATTTTTTGATATTTGATAAAACTACCTTTATTAAACTGGTAAACACTGCCACATTTTGATGGAGATATTCTGTAACCGATATTTCATCTTGGTAAAATGTTCAGAAATCTTCGAAAGTATTGTTTTAAACAGTATTTTTTAGTGTTACTCTTTGATTTGATATAAAAATATACTGTTTAAGTTACCGAGTCAACTAAAATTTATCTCAGACTTTTTAAGATTAGATAATGGTTTTTCTCTTTTCTTCAGTCAGTGTTTTTTACGCAACTTTCAAGGTAGCGTGAAGAAGTTGCATTTTAGAACTTGTTTTTAAGGTATCTCAAAAATACTTAATCAAAATCTCTGAATTGAACTTTAAAACACCTTATGTGGAAAATTCAAGTTCAGTTCATGGTGTTGCTTCATATTGATAGTTATCAGTTTGTGAGCTGCTGTACATAATGAATAAAATCTTTTGGTAAAATCGCCATAGGGACCCCAACGGTGGCGTCCCCAATGCGCCAGCGTCGAAATCGCACAACTCACAACTCGTTAATGGTGACAGCAATAATGTGGATGACCATCCACCTTATTGGGATGCGTACGATACCATCAACCAATTTTATTTGGAATTGGGTAGGGGCGCACATCCACATAAGTGATCTCGAAAACTCAATGACAAATTTTCAGGTAATCGCCCGGAGATGAAAAATCACTATCGTGGTCATAAGATGTCACTGTGGCTGAACTTAATACCACAGCTTCATCAGCCGGGCGACGCAGATGAAGTGTCCATGAGACACCACCATTTTCAAGAAGAAGACGACCAATATTATGACGGTAAATATACAGAGTGTTTTAGATGTAACGTTAGTTATCTTGGAAATGGAAAATATTACCTCACAGGTTGAATTTTGACGTTTGTCAATTTTAATAGGAATGTTAGAGAATGTATTCGTGTTAGTTTGCAATACTGTACCCAAAAACTAACGGACATAGAAAAACTGTAGGTTAACTGCCGTTTACCACACTTGTTGCATTATATACTATTTCCATAAAAACATTTCGCAAACATTTGTTTATTAAATGTGATATCAAATGTCAAAGAGACAGAGTGTTGAAAGTGAATATGATTTTTTTTCTTATTTTATAAAAAAAAATCATTAAATTTTGCCTAGAATTTTAAGGTAATATTTTTAAAGCTAATAGTTTATTAGCTATATGTTTTTTTAAATATGTGATCCCCTGAATATTTTTGAATCCTTGAAAAGAACTAACATTACCGTTCCAATAATATGATACTGATATTTTTCTCGAGTCCTATCCTAAATAGTGAATAATTTAATAAGTAGACTTTCGACGGCGTCGTCATTATAAAGAATAATAATATAGATTTTGGCTCTTCATGCGTTCAGTTATAGACTGACCCGTGAAATACATTGAATTAGATATTTTATTTTATAAAAGCCTGAAAGAATTCAGAGGCAATGTATACCACAATCAATATAACTTCAAGATATTTTCGGAAGATTGCGACACAACTAATTAAGAATAAAAGGTAAATAAATTAAATACTTAATTAAATAAAGTAAATAAATTTAATACTTACAGAACACGAACACAGTGGTTCCTCTCAAAATGTAACCGAATATGCCATTTCCCGTTAATTTTAATTGGAAGGTTTATCTAAAACCTACCTTCTAAACAGCTAAAGCGTAATTTAACAACCAGCAGTAGGTATGTGTTTGTTTTCGATACTAGGGTTGCAGAGTCCAAAGCCTACGTGTTCAAACAATAAAACTTTTATTAATAACTATGAAAACTATAAGCCTTAGAATTATTATTATTACACCATAAAAATAAAAAGAAGAGAAGATTAGAAAATATTTTCTGGAAAACACAAAATTATCTATAGCAAAAAAAGTTAAAGCGATTTTTAAAAAATGGTACATTTTAACCTTATAACTATCCTTTGAGTTGGTACTATGCAAATATTACCTTTTCAATAGTGTGCACAAATTGACTTTAAGTTTTCAAAATGGCTCTCTCAAATTAAACCCGGGCGCATTATATAATTTATATAGCAGCAATTAGCAAATTTTTGTTTATGTTTTAGTATATACAAACATGAACAGTGAAAGTTTGACTTTAAGTATATGTTATAAATGATATTTATAATTGTTATTTCTAGGTTTCGTTAGACCTCAGACCAAAGAGAGACCACCGTTGTTCCACTTCAGTCCGTTTCCATCACCCTCGGTGGTCGTCGCACGCTCCTCGATGGCCACCGCAGCACCAACACCATCTCCCCCCAAATCCGACACGGCTCTCCAAGCGACCACCACCGAGTGTCCCCCCAACACGACAATACTCTTCCAAAACAAGAACTCCAATAATTTACTCAGAAAACTGGCTTCCAGTCACTATCAATCATACACCACTGCCTTAACGGTCACAATAGCAGTGGGCTGTTTTCTGCTTCTGCTAAATATACTGATTTTCGTGGGTATTTACCATCAGAGAGATCAGGGGAAGAGTAAACAGAAACTTAAAGAAGATTCCACCGAAGCAGGTAAGTAATAAAAAATAAATTAGCGAGTGCTTTGAAAATAATTAAATTGTCAAAAAAGTTATAAAATCAGGTTGAAAATTTTGCAGTGGTATTTCTACCTCAAATGGATCATCCTGAATTACCGCAACTCTAAACCCTTCTAGAAACACAGCTGAACATTACTAATTTAAAACTAGAATACAGTCTTAGCTTTAATCTACAATTTTATAATGTTTGTACAATAACCAATTAGTAATTACAAATTACATTGCATTATTTATTCAATAAAAAGTTTCAAAATTTGTTAAATAGGGAATTGCATTTCAAGTAAAGTTTGAATCTAGTTGGGTTAGATAAAATATTTTCCAAATAAGCGCCACCAACCTTTTTCTATGGGGCAACTTATAAATAAATACAATAAAATATTGTATGGTAACAGGAAGTTGCAGTAGTTCGTCGGCCGAGGCGTACGAGAAGGCGATGGAACAGAGACAGATGCAGTACAACTGCAAGAAAGGCTCTTACCACGATGTTTCTGCCGATTTGGACAAAAATGCCTTCCAGTCTTATCCGGGAGACTGCGTCATGAGAAAAAGCTCCATGAGTGACATCCAGCTCACCGAATTGTCCCTGCAAGATTTCAGCTCTTCACCGTCACCCATCAAGCGTCCAGAAGGTAGAGCAGGTATGTGTATACAACAGCTGTTCTCTTAAATTTCTTTCTTTACGCAAATTGTAACATTATGTTTACAGGTAATGCGTCTCCATTTCCTCCAGATGTAACAGCGACCACCGCCTGTCACCAGAAGGAAGAACAAGTGAGTCCGTCGATTCCAGAACCGCCCCCGCCCCCAAAGGGTCAACCGCCCCTCTCCTTCAACCAGACCGGGATACTAAGGAACCACGGGCTGCCGAACACTCCCGGAACGATGAAAAAACGCGTCCAAATTCAAGAGATTTCCGTATGATGAGCGTCAAAGTTCGTACTATTACGTTATATGTTTTGTATTTTATAAGAAATGTTTTAAATAAATATATATAAATAATACTAAATCATATCTGACTGACCGACTTTAAGCCAGTAGATATTATTACAAAATAAATAAATCAAAATTATTTTAGATAAATGTGTAAATAATGTCTAAGGGTGATTAATGATTATCGTATGTAATTTGACTTTATTGTTCCGTTTTGTTCGCAAAACCGTGACCACTATTAAAGTATTCGCATTTAACAAAACCGAAATCGGTTATTTTCAGAATATATAGTTTTTAGTAACGAAATATGTTTTAATGTTCGAAGAATAATCATAAATAATCATAACCACATCCACGTTTGCTATGGACAATGATTTACTTAGCAGTCGGGATTGAGAGGTTCTAATGTACCAAAATTCAACACATTTAACATTCTCAGAACGTATTTTGATATTTTAACGTTATGTTTTGAAACTGACTTGTTGGTTTCACGATTCACAATCAATCCCGGAAAAACGAATTGTGATTGAGTTGATTAAACAGACATTTTTAAAACCACAAGAACAGTTTAGTTTGGAGAATAAAATCTGGATCCATCTCTATCATCGTACCATCTACTATCATCAAAGGAGTGGGGAGAATAATATTTTAGCCGACTGAAAACAAAATCCACCTTATAGTATTTTTCTTCCACAAAGTAAACTTATCACATGCACAGCTTATTAGCGACAGGATTTTTATATTAACGAAACCAATAAATCTTGAAAGAACAGACCCAATGTTAATGAAAGCTTATTTGAATTTCATGAGAAGCTTCGAGTTGAGTCACAAATTAATTAAAGAAGACCAAGGATGGCAATATAATCAAAATGCAGCTAAAACGATGCATAGAAACAACAACAAAACACGAAATTACATTGCAAAAAATCAAAACTTGGACGAATCTTCAAGGTCAGTTCAGTAACAAGTAATGAAACCAAGGATGGATTTCAAAATTAATTTTTTCCAAAAATCTCTAGGACGTATTATAAATATTTCGCGAAATCTCAAAAAAATGTTTGAAATATTACATTTAATGGAACGATTGATTATTATTATTTTAATAATTTATTATTTTTTTAATAATATTTAACTATTATGTAAAAAAATAAATCTTTCACGAAACATTTATAATAATAAATTCTAGTATACTTGGAACACTAATTATTATACATGATTCTTGTAAATATTCATTGCAATCGATATCGAACAGAAAAATATATGCGATATAGGGGAAAATAGAAATATTATAAGTTATCGTTTAAAAAATTGTCCTGAATCAAATTATCTAATAAACAGAGAACAAATTCAACATTTTTGAATAGCGAGACGGGAGCCTCTCTAGTCCTCTTTTTCGAATTTACATAATGTACCGAAAACTTGTAGTGGTAACAGTTTTGCCTATACATTTAAAAATACATATTTGAAATATCGTTTCTGTGTCATCAATCAAAAAGAATAAGATCTGGTACTAGATGGAGCAAATAAACAAAAAAAATCGTGGAAGCGATATGAGCTAATAAATTTTTTTAATATTTTCATGAAATGTTTTTTATTCCATCAGAACATATGAACATATCTACAACTACAATATATTTCCTTCATAATTTTATGAGACTGAGAAATACGTAAATTTAAGATGTGCGCATTTTAAAGTCGAAGATGACAGTTTTAATATACTTTGAAACGCTTATAGATTTTTTTAAAATTCACTTGATTTATAGGACCACAACCACAACAAACAAACCAAACACAGGCAAGTCTCAAAAATTTCGAATAAAAACATATAATTTTTTGAAACAATATTATTAGTCGTTATAAAAAGAAACACTAGCTTTTCTCTATACCGTTATTTTGTTTTTTTTTTTATTTCTTAATTTAAGCAAGCTCTTAAGTAAATTTAAAGTATAAATCAGAAATAATTTGCTTTCTTTTTTTTTAATTGTCAATATATATACTGTGGCGGATCACCTTATATATGCAATAAATACTCTATTCCGTTGTCGGTATTATCTACGTTCTCCATAGACTCCCAAAATCATTAAAATATCTGTTGGCATGACGCTTACTTTCACGTTTGTGTACTCAAGCTTGTATGCCGCTTAAGTTTCCTATTCCAAACAACTGTAAAACGTGTCAAAGCCCTTTCATAATAATATCTCGAGACTGCCAAAATTTCAGAGAAAAATTATATAAACTTTTTTTTCTATAATATTAATGAAGTTGATGGGGGTTTGCTCTTTGATGTGGAGCCGAGGAAACTTTTATACGAACCATTTGCAAACACTGATACCACGAAGGTACATTTTTACTTCACTAAATAGTATTCACGAAAAATAGTTAAGACGCAAACATCGATTTAAACATTGTTTCCAATTCATTGGTTTAAAATTCTCTGCAGAAATTCGTAGTCGTATTGCTTAAAATAAACTAAATATTATATCTTAATTTTATACGCCAAAGAATATCTATATTATATTCTGGCTTACTTATACAATAATATTAGAATATTTTTTCTAATAGCCTGTAGCATCTCACCCTTAAACTGTTCGCAATACAGTCGTTAATACGGTGTTACTGGATCCGTTGTCGTATAAATAAGTTGTATCGCAAATAGGAACAATATCACAAACTTTGTATCTTCAGAAGTGTTTTGCACTGTAAATCTAACGATTCAATTTTCTTTTTTATAATTTCGCCGGAATTAGGATTATATTGATGTGGGATTTGCTTATCTAATGATAGTATATTGACTCTTTCTAATAAGAGCTTTTCATTATTCATCGAAATGTATCATATTCACATCGACGCATAAAAAAAATTCTATTAAAATAATCACACTTTGGTATTGGCATCAATAGTGACTATTGAGTCTTGGTTTTGTTCATCCTCTTCAATAGTTATGTCCCTGAGAGAGCGTCTGGATGATCTACGCAGTTCTTCTGCATTTATCGGTTTCGTTCTCGTCAACATTTTTGGTCCCAAAAATGTCATTAATATGGCAGACGTTGGGGCAGTTAGTATAATTGCCAAAATGCTAATCATCAAGAACTTTTCTGCGTAACTGTGTTCTTCGGATTTTTCCGGTACCAGACTGAGTAACGCTGGAGCTAACGCCGCCTAAAACATATACAGGGCGTGTAGTAAACTCTTAGATAAAAGCTTTCTACTGTCACCAAAAATTATTTTATACTGAAGTTACAGTTAAAGAATAAACAACATTTCTAGGGTATTTTTAATAGTAATTCGAATCCATTTTTATCTTTTTTTTAGCCTGGTTTGTACCCATTTTTATAAACTGAGTAAACCAACAAAATATGTTAAACGTAGTGACATCTTACTTGGACGGTTGCCTTGGACATCAGCGCTATGGCGGAAAACAGCTTCTCCTTTAAGTTTAGTCCGCTCTTAATTCCGAATAATACTGTACTCAAAATTCTAATAATACTGGAGGCTATTAAGATTCCCACCCCTGAAAGAAAATTTACATTCTCAGGCACGACTTAATCATAGCTAAGGGTTGTATTTATAATCATTCCTTGAGGCGTTCTTATGTACTCGACACCTCTAGTATATATTATTATAAAATGGGGGGAAGAGGGCTGAAGGATTTATTGGATTTAACCAACTACTTGAATTACGACCCTAAGAGGTAATGGTAAACATTTTAAATTGTGCGCTAACATCGGGTATCTGTTTTTGAAAACGACGAGGTAAGTAATTTTGTGCTTCTACCGAGTCGTCTAGCATATACTTTACTTCATTGTAATTGTTTCTGTGCATCTTAGTTTCATGAATGTTGCTCTGCCTACAGTGGTATGTGCATTCTTCATATGTTTTAATTCACTGCCCTGAAAGTGGGCTGGATGAATTATTATATTACACCTTCAAAAGATAAAAACCAAAATGATGCACCAGAAAGCGTTTTTAAAAACAGCAGTCGTGTTAAATGCACCTGTGCAAGGCGGCAAAAGAAACTTCTCTGATTCTAGATGTATGTGCGTCTACAGAATTAAATTATCTTCAATGATACTTGATACCCTACTTACCTATAAGTACAATCTGACCATCTAACTCGTTCAGTCTAATTTGAGCACCCGTAATGCCAAAAAGGATAGGTTCGAAAAACATCCAAATAATTTCAAAACTGACGGCCACAGGATTCTCCTCATTGTTCCAACCCTGTTTCATCCATCCTATGATTGATGTGAATGCAGCGACGACGCACGCCAATGGCCCTGCCCCACCGTAACCTACCGCTGTGCTGCCGAAAACGGACAACATGCACCCCGCAAACAGCAAAAATACCCTCATAGGAACCTAAAAGGATTATACAGACTTGTTGTCCATTCCTAGGAAAGAAATCACGAACTAAATCAATGAACTCCATATATCGGACTGAAAGGACTCTGGTAATGCAGCCAATTTTGTAAGACTGGTAACAAATATGGAAATTGTAAAATTGATTTTATCACATCTGTGAAATTAATATATTTGGTATTTCGGTATTCTTTACCTCTCGATTTAGACGTTTTAAAGGTCAATTGCTGATAAGAAAAATTAAAATTTTCCCTTTTTCAAGAAATTAAATTAAAATTAAAAAAATTCATTAAATAATAATGAGAAATAATTTTAGCAAAAATACATCGACAAATAAAGTAAAAAAAAAGAGAACAGAAGGTACGAGGCAGGATGAAGACAACAATCCCGATTACTAGCCTACTGTAAAATTTGCCTCACTTTTCTATTGCGCAGCCAGTGCCACTCAAGTTTATATCGAGTCCACTGAACTAACTACTTCAACGTGTACTTGCCACGTAAGGATCGCCTTTTTCGGGGAAGAAATAAGCGAGTATTCCCCAAAAGATGCCGAATCCAATCCCGCCAATTACCGACACAGGACCCTGTACGATAATGTTAGTTAGGGAACTCGCCGAAAACATAACACTTTGCATTATTCGAAATACAGCCACAGACGCCGCGTCATCTATGCCCGCGATCGCGATGATCAGGGTAGGTATTCCTTTGGAAACACCATAGCCTTTTGATCTCAGTCTGCAAGTAGAATTAATAGTTCACTTTAAATTTACAACATTAATATAAGAATATCTAAAAGTTCAGATAGCAATTGTAAATAAAGATTTGGGAATAAAGAATTTGCCATTGATTGTGATTATCAAACTGTGAATGTGTGTCAAAATAAGTTACACAGTAAAATTAAATTCTAAACAGATAAAACGAATTAAATAAATTAAATTAATTAAATTAATAAGGGGCAGTTAAACGCCATACTAATTTGACGCTCTTTTTCTGTGACTATGTCAGAAAGCCCAATGTATATATTTAGTTGAAGATATTCCTACTCAAAGCTGTGAAATATCATTGATGCAGAAAATTGTTCTCACTTTTAGCATGCCTTAAGCATGCAGATCTATCCGGAGTACCCGATTTTCCGCAATACATTACTTCAGCAACAAAGACACGAAATGGAAAGAAATAGAAAACAGAAGCAGCTCAAAATATACAGAATCGCAATATATCAAAACTTCCAGGTTTTATGCATAAACCTATGCAAACAGCAAAAACCATTTTCTAAATTTAGATTTCGTAAAATTTTTGTTTACACGTTTTTTTTGTCACCTTATAATACAGAAAATTCCACAAATGCATGTTACAATTGTGTTGTTTCAATATATATATATATATATATATATATATATATATATATATATATATATATATATATATATATATATATATATATATATATATATATATATATATATATATATATATATATATATATATATATATATATTATATATATATAAATTATTGTTACCAACATTTACCTTAACAAACAAGGTACAGTCACAGCAGGTGATACTGCCGCCACAACGGACCCCAAAGCAAACCCATAATCCCACGGAAGATGAAGGAATAAATGAGTAGCTGCGCATATGACACCTGCTTCGACCAGCCAGGGCAGCAAACCCACCAATAAAATACTAAACTTCAGTCTGCGAATTGCTGTCGGATCCAAGTCCAACCCTGCTCTTATAAGAATTATCACCAGGGCTGTACTCCTGCAGCAAAAACAATACATAATTATTGGTATTAACATAAGTTTCTCAATTTAAACCGTCTTGTCTCCTGAATAGTTTAAAATTACAAAAATTTAACATTGAAAAAACTTAAATTTTCGACCTCCTAGTACGATGTTTTCTATGCAATCTATACATAAACTACGATCCAGCAATTTTACGATACAGATGCGGGTGTACAAACGCGATTTAATGACGATTTTTATATATTTTGAAAATTTGAAATAAATCATTCAAATCAAAAGCACTTTTCTCACGCACTCTGCCAAGATACGCTAAGAGTACGCTAAATGTGAAAAAATAAAACTAAAATTCTCAAATTTTGGAGACAAAATTACGGAAAAAAAAAACAATTGACATATTTTTTCAAGCCTTAGAGCACCAAATTTTATGGAATCACCTCTTAAAAGTATCATCACTGATTCATTATTATCCTAGCCATTTTTGGCATAAAATATTAAATATCTGGAAGACGTATAAAGGCTATTAAAATGCTTAGAAGTAAATTTTGTCTCCAAATTTTAAACACTCTGGCGGTGTGAATAAAGCTTGTGCTTTTTTATTTATCCGTTAATTGTCAACATATAAAATCTTTCATAATATTTTCGATATTCGTTAACACATTTTAAAGGAAAATTACAATTTTGATTGATTTTCATTGTAGAAACGAGTTTAAATAAAGTAATTTTTTACATTGCAAGGTAATTTTCTGGTTTCCTCAACTTCACCTTCAACTTGATGATATTGAATTAGATGGAGAATTAGATAAGATATATATTTTTTAATTGATATATTAAACTACCTACCTCAAATTTTTGGTTAACGTGGATAGCGACGAATCCAAGTTCACCACACCGACATTTTGCAGCAGTAGTCCCGTGAACAGCATACCAATTAATCCAGGTAGATTAGCAAGGCTTATCACCCATCCTCCCAATTTGGATATGATCACGAGAATGATCAGCTGAAATATGGGTCCCTGGGGTGCCACAGGGTCCCCCACGATGGTGTAAAAGACGTACCAGCTCACGATTCCGAGGATTATCAGGGTGACAACTCTCGAAAATCGCCGAAAGGTCGGACAGAAGGGATACGGGCATAAGTAGGACCAGTATGGTGGTTCCCATGAAGATGTTGACTCTTTCGATCGACATTTTAGGCAAAATGCATACCACCAAGACCTAGGGAAAGATAGCACAACCGCTTAATGGATGCTAAATTAATAGTTTTCCAATTTTTAACATTGTTCAGGAAGGTGTTAAATTTATTTTTACCTCTTAGAATACTAACAGATTAATTAGGTTAATTCTTGAAAAGGGGAGTTGGTATTGAACATGAATTTATTGTAGTAAAAAACAACATTCAATTTTTTGTATAAAAAAGTAATTTTGAAAATTTATCAATACAATCAAAATGGGGTAAATTCTAGGGATTTCGGAAATAATTTAGTATGTTGACTGCCAACTGAGAAATAACTAGTCCTAGATTTAATGTTACTACAATAAAAGAACAAAAAATCAATGTTGGCTTTGGACAAAAAATTTCTTAAAAACGATTCAAAAAGACGCCATCTGTGGGAATTTTTTATGATTCTTGATGATACCTATGGACTGGACTTAGTTTTTAATAAGACAATATGCTAAAATCTAAGTGTCATTTTTCGCCAGATTCCTAAAAATTACCATGGCAGTCAAAGTGTAAGCTACTAGAGGTCAATGGAATTTATGTGCAATTATTGACTATTTAATTGAATCTGAAGAGATTTGTAAATTATCTATTTGTGAACATTTTAATTTGCACCCCTATTAAGAGGCTGTGAATAAGAAATTGTTATTTTGCGACTCTATTTTTTTTGTGTCGGCGCTTTTTAAAGTAATTCAAAAATTAGAACACCATGTGACTCATTGGAAATATAGCAGAAAATACCATGAACACGGAACAAAACTGTCACTAGAATTTGGTTAAGAGAGGAATTTCAACGTCCACAAAAATTTTAGAAAAACCTAGCTAACAAAATAAAGATGATTTTTTAAAATCATTTATATTTGACGTCCAGACACCGTTTTATAGGATAAAAATACTGCTGTAATTCGCCCTAAAATATAAATAAAAGACCCAATAGCTAGGATCCACGATATTTTGACAAAATTTGCAACATATGCTAAGCCTGTTCAACAAACAGGTTCTTATTATAAGATTATATTCGTGGGTGGGCAGTTTTTACATTTGTAGTTGATGGTTTTTAGTAATTTTGAGTATAAAATGTGAAAATTTGATGTCCTAACGAGATACCAGTAGGAGTACCTTATCTGTGTACAAAACGTGATATTTTCAAATTCTTTAGTCAAATCAAAACGACTAGAACATTGGGGACAACCATTACCTGCCCATGAAGATAATTCAATACTAACTTATTTTATTCAACAGAGCTCAAAAAGTTTAGCAAATGTATGTTTTAGTCAAATATCTTTCAAAAATATTTAAAAAAAGAATCTCAAAAAGAAATAGGTTATGTCCTTTGTTAATAGAAACATTTATTTCTATTTAAGGGAGGAGAGTAAGTGGTTAAAAAGTTGAATGTAATTAAAAAAATACCATGCATATTAAAACTAAAGCTTTCTCGGTCCAATCTTATTAGCATTTGAGCCTATTTGAGGATCACTAATAGCTTTAAATGTGCATATCGCGCTATTTACCTAGGATTGTCATCCCCGTTATCCGAAAATCGTGTTTTGGAAAAACGAGATGCTGTCGATTGGCTCGATAATTTTCTAGTCCTTGGTTCATGGATTTCTCGGTCTAAAACTGAAATTAACCGCAATCAGATGAAGGCGTGGGAACATACTATCACAAAACCGCTGCTACTTAGTTTTATTTTTATCACAAATTATTGCTGAAGACGCTACACAAATATATTGACTGTTACTTTTTTTTCCGTTTAATTTTTTTTATATTTGAAGCACTGCATGGAAGCCAGTAACGGCTGAATTGAGTTAGTGACTCTGGAAAATGTTCACAGTATTTTAGACTAACGGAGACCTACTGAATATAAAGTTTGGTGACTTAAATAATTTTTAAATAGTAACACAAGACGGTACGGTTCTAAAACTAAAAAAAGGCCTACCCTTAGCTATCGCCGGAGAACGGAATCCAATTATTGGTGAAGACACCATATCGACAAAAACACAAACAAATGGAAGGACAATAATATTTCGTCCTACTTTCGTGCAGTGCTATTTTACTATAACATTGCCTTTTAATTTTACTACGGTTGCTTGTAAAATGGGCATCAACAGGTAGATTTCTTTAACGAATCATGGCCAGGTCGGACCCCCCCTGGATATTACTTAGGGGCATACCGTTAGATGAATACGTCGAAGCAACGTTGCCATCGCGGCATTTAGGGAACATCAACGAGAGTTTAAAAGGGATAACGGAAAAATAGTCATGTGCGACGAATTCTCATGCTCATATTTGTTATGCTTACTATCAACAAAGTTAGGATACCGACAAAAGAAAATGTATTTATTTAATATTGGGAAATATAAACTGAAATGAACTGTGAGCGACTAAGAAGTTGCTAAATACCGTAAATATCCCTAAGCAAGCAATAAAAGGGTAACTTGTGAATAACATGAACTAAAATTTATTAATATGGGTACTGGGAGGTAATAAAAAGTTAAATAAATCAATCAATTAAATCAACAGGATCGACAAATTAAAAACAGAAAATCAACGCACTATAAATAATTTATCCAAAGGGTTTGGCAAAATATTAAAAATTAATATAATGAAAAATAACTATAATTTTAAAAATCATTTGCTACCACTCACAGATATATTTTATTTTATTTTACTGTGTGTTCAATTACTGCCTCAGTATTCTCCATCCCCAAAAATTCCCGAAGCAAGTTTTCATACCAATATGTCTAAAAAAAACTTTATTGCCCTAAATGAATGCCAATCACGATTTTTTACAAAGATATATTCTGCTCAATATTATTAATTTCACGCATTTAATATTAGATTGCTTTTTCCTAATGCTCAAGTTTCTTTTTTTTTGTGAAAGTAAAACTAAATATGTTTTATTTCCAAAATAGATTCATTGCTTACCCAGGGCCGGATTATCAAGTCCACTTAATCCATTCCTATTGTTCTTCATAATTTCAGGATTGCAATCGCCATCTTTTAAGTCGTATTTGGTCATGTTGATCAACCGATGTATCCACTAAAACTAAAAATAAAATGTATTACATATATTGAAGCCACGGGGGCTGTATAGTACCGGTATTATTTTTGGGCTTAAACTTAAACGATCGAGACCCCAGCTTAGCTCCGCGACTAACACTTTTTGTGTAGTCGATTTAATTAACATTCAATAAGAAAAAACACGTGAAAAATAACATAAAAGGTTGTGTTAACTTAATTTATAGTATAAGCGCTTCATAGATTTTAATTCATTAGCGGATATATCAGGTAAACAAGTTCGTATGACTTTGACAGAGGCGTATGAAAACTAGATATATTCAAACAAAAAGCGTCTATTAACACAAAATAAGTATAAGGGTTTACAATATTAATAATAATAAATGAAATCAAATAAATTATATTATTCTTACAATTTTCAACTTCACCGTTCTAGATTATCTTGAACCCTAAAATTGTCCTTCCGATATCTGGTTAGAAATACGATAAAAGTTTCGCTCCTAAAAAAGTCGTGCAATCTGGAGAAACACTTAATTCGCATACAGGATGAAATGGAGTTGCTTGCGAAAAACATTTCAATGCCCTTCCTTCAAAAATTATTCAATACTTTCAACCATGATATATGATATAGCACAAACGCAAAACTTTACACCAGGCAAATTAGGGGTCAAATCGGACCACCATTACGCTTGGAAATAACACTAGCTCTTACCTACAAATTGAATCTGTTGAAGCACAGACTAACAAAGACAATACTAAATTGCGGCACAAGTCTCCACAATGCTAACGAGAAGTTTTCGACGCGTTCCCGCAATAATAAATTAAAGTTAACGAATCTCGTTTAATCAAATCAGAATTTAAATACCGGGTGTTACAACTTACTAGCGTTTACCCTTCTATCGGACTGTTCTCTATTTTAAACATCTACAGGTATAACTAACCAAAACTAACCAAATATAATCTTTTAAGATCAAAAAGTTATTGGACCCTGCTTATTTTTTTTCAAAATGGAATAGGAATATTGAAGAAATAAAACAAACGCGCCATACCTATAACCACGAACAACCGTATTTAAAAAAAAATGCCTTAACGTATTCTTCAAATATTATCGCGTAATAATAATATTCACTCCAAACTTTAAAAAAATGAAATATAAATCAAATACGTCATTGAAATATGTTTCTATGACTATTAGTTTTTGGGTACATTTTTGCAAAACAGCAGGAATACATTCACTGAGTGACAGGTCACGCGACCATCAGAAATGAATGGCTAAAATGCACTGAAAACAGTCGATCACTATCAAATCCATCACGCAAGAACCGGAAGGGCACATCTAATCAAAACATAATTGAGTATTTTATAGTAGTATCTATGACTACAAACTAACATACAATTCTTTTATAACTTTAAATTGACCACACAAATGTAGGTTTCTTTCTCACAAAAATTATATGAGAGGGATAACACACATTCCATTTTCTAGTGGGGATTGTAGTGTATATTTGAGTGTGTATCAAATTAGTAATATTTATGCAGTGTGCACTTATTATAACATTACATTGAACCAGTCTTTAATCACTAGTTACATAATTCTGTATTCTGTCGCATAAATATTATTATTTTCACAATTATACTCTTTATTTAAAATTGGGGCATTGGTAATTGAAAATTTAATTTTGATCTAATACAAAAATTCGCGACCGCTCAACTGCCAAGAGCAAAAGAAAATATCACACTCGGTATCGCTAGCCATATTTTATAATACCACTTTAATGGAGTAAACTGATAAATGTATATTTGTTTTATTGAGTGGAGACAACAAAACCATAGTTACATGATCAATTTAGGTTTCCCATATCGACGCTTGATATCAGTTATAAGTAAATGTAAATAAATAAAAAATAAATGTAAATAACCTAGAAGTAGGCACGTCCAATTTTGCTGCCATTTTTGAGCAATGGCGGACTGATAGCTTTTATGACGACACCAATAATGAAACCCATAACCTATAACAAAACTAATATAACACGCATAAAACACAAAATAATTAACGAGGATAAAATCACTTCATTTACAGGTTGTCATTATTTTTAAACTTCATTCAAACAACTTGTTTGAATAGTTGCTATAACTATGGGTTCGTTTTAATCCATAGCATACCATAGTTTCATTAAAACTGACCACGGGGCATACTACAAAAACAACTGCACCTAGAGCTCATGAAAAACAGTACTAAAATGGGCACGAGAAAAATCTGAAAACTATTATTTAACTTCTCATTTCACCGAAGAGCGCTCAATTGATATGATGATTGATTGAAAATTCAAGATTAAAATTCTCAAATAAAAAGGTGAGGCAAGGTCCCGATCATCTAAACCACTTATCCGATTTCTGCAAACTCTGGACTGCTTAAAAGAAAAATCTAAGTGTATTCAAATACTTTTTTTTTACGGTATAATTTTGACATCATAATCGGAAGATGTAATTAGATATCTTCATCCATTTCAGAGTTATTATCAAATAATCTTTTTTAACGCTTTAATCTGAAAACATATTCATTGTTTTTCAGCTTTGTCCTAGGGGTTTCTTAACAATTGGCTTTGACTTACATCTCCCTGCATTTTTTTAAACCTAGGACTAGTCCAAATCGTATAAAAGATAATATTCGTTTAAATATTTAAAAGCGCAATCCTTAACAAAACAATAGGAACAGCAGTGTTCTTAAGCCTTCGGCACGCCCAAAACGAAAATGCATGTTTCGCGCTATACCATCCCCACCAACTTACTTAAGTACATACGCAAACACCTTCGACGATTTTTGGAATGTAATAAAACTATCAATTCTTCTAAAAAAGGTTTTTACTAAGACTAGTTTCCCTAGACCCCCCACCCCCCTCGCATTACTATCGTTGATATTATGTCGTAGCATTAATTGGAATTTCGATACAAGTAACCAAAACGCGCCATGGACCCGGAGGGCGCTGTCAACCAAAAGACTTCAAGCCGGACCAAAGGGCCCCAACACTCGCCCGAACACGGCCGGACGACGCGGGTGTCACGCCAGCGTCGTTGACGACAATCTATAGTTTATTTACGATATTATGTTGTATATGTTTATTGTATATGATGTAAATATGGCTTTGACGATGTAGTAGACTGTAAATAAATAAAGACTGTTTGAAATGAATGAGTGTTCTTAAGAAAACAATGAACAGGCGTCAGAAAAAGACTTTTTTATTCAATATGTATGTCATTTTGTAAAATGAAAAGTTCTCGATATTTGTATTAAATGTTCAACATCAAGAGCAGTTTCATAAACTAGCTATTTAGATTTGGATGACAGAGTTTCATGGTAATATAGATTTACTTTTTGGTTAGTTAATATTGCCTCAGTAGTAATTTATTTTGGTGAGTGAGAGAGAGAATGACAAATACAACGCAATGATTTACCACTTGGCCAGGAAAGCAACCAATTTTTGACAATAAAAAAAGTCTGAAACCAGCTGGAATTTTCCAGAATTTCCAATAACGTTATTAAAATTATAAAACATTATTTTTTTGTGTTGAAATCAGTAAGGTACAATTATTGTTTTATGAAATGGGTTTTAGGTAGAAACAATTTATCAATTTTCGTACATACTTTAGATACTAGTATTGATAATAATAACTTTAGTATAAGACATTAACCTAGATCACTGTCTTATCTTTGTAATCCTACATTTTGTGATCACCATCAGCTTTATTTTATAAAATTTTATTCATGTCTCTCGCTTCGCTCATCAGTTACTAGTGCACGTTCTTAATCGAGTAATCATTAAAATTTTGATTGCATGATGTGTTTCTATTCCCCAAGTTTTCTAACCAACCACGTAAAATCTCCAAATTTGTTTTGTTTGAAACCATTCGACATTTCACCGACCCATTCACAATATTAATTTATTTAATTGACATTTGTGGTGAGTGTTTATCAAACAATTAACGTTATAGGCAGCACATGATCTTTACGGCAATTTAAAGCGCCGGTCACATGATTTTCGTTCCAAGACCGACTGGCACCGTCCTTATTACACTGTTAAATATAACCATGAGTTACTAATGAATCTAACTAAATACGATAAAGCCCGGACTTTAATGAAACTCGATAAACAACGTGTTATTGCATTTTAATAGAATTTGTTTACACTGGTTCCTAGAGACGCCTTTTTTAATTAAAATTTTCTTTGATTTGAAATATAACGAAATGTATTGCCAAATAGGAGACGAAGAAATTAATGTTAAAAAAATAAAAATATGTAATTGAACTTGGTGGCAAGTTGCGATTTTTGTTAAAAAGTTTTACCTATATTCTCCTACTTAAACATTCAATTTTTCCGCTTTGAATAGCCTCTTCTATTTAGAATTCAAATAACTGAGTGTGAAATGTGACAATTTAATATAAATGCAAGATCTGGATATTAATACTATATTTCTGTAAGAAAGTGTATGAAGAAGCTCTTCAAAGTGTTGCATGTTATACTTTTCCCAGTTTTGTGGTATATTTTTGCAAAACAGTACGTATAGAAATTAAATGCTGTGTGACGTGACTATCCGAATTGACAAATGTCAAAGTGCCATCAGTGTTAAAAATCTACAGAAAACATCCATCGCTCTTAAACTCGTGACTAAAGTAACGCTCGTAGCAGCATTTAATGAAGCTGATGTCTTAAAGAGACACTTTACCATATATTGGGTATTTTGGGGTAGGGAGTAGAAAAATTATAATTTATTAGGTACGCAATCAAAAATTATATATGAAATGACGCTATGACTATGACTTGATCACTTATCACCGGTTCTTTTCTTAGTAATCGTACCTTTCGTTGACTGATAGCATACTAGGCTTCGACTGCATGAATTGTCGATTAATACAGGTAAACTAATTAACCAAAAACTTGAGGAGAATATATATAACAAAAATAATTGCTATTTTATTACATGTTCAATTTCTAATCAATTTGTCAAAAAGTGAATCCGAAGCAACCCAGTTTGTTCAATAAGATGCTTTGATGAATTATTTCAAACACTTTGGAGATGAATGCTGGTACTGTTCAAAAGATTTTCGATAATTTTGTTAAAAACACTAATGACGAAAAGTTCGCATTTAAAGAGTTATGATTGATCTGACGAGAACAAAAGAGCAGGTTTTCTTCAAAAATGGAGAAATATCCAGATCTCTTATACCCACTGAAGTCAGTATCAATGTCCGAAATAGAGATAAATGCCTGAAACATGCTGATGATTTTTGAGTTCCTTAAGGTCACTCAAGTCAAGTTCTTTTCAACTTGTAAAAAAATAATACCCATATCCTAATAATTACCTGATATATAGCCTGCAAGATTATAATCTAAATCGACCTAAAACAAAAATTAGGTTTAAATAATAGCGAAATATAATAATGATCCATTTTCCTTTAATGTTTCCTTGTAAATAAAAAGACAGACGAATAATCAGAAAAATCTGGAACATGTACGCCATTTCCTCTATTGGCATTTAAATTGCATTAATATAAATTTCCCGTCTAGTATAATCGTATTATAAACGGGCATTTTAATAGGTAATTTTGCTGTTGTAGAATAATATAGGGTGTAGGACGATGTTCAAACAGCGTTGGGCAATTCGCGATCTCAAATTGGCGTCTTCCATTTAGAACGCGGCGTTTCTAATGCCAATGCGGCACCGCTCAATTCGATTGACCCTCCGAGCGCTGTCGCGTTTTTTCGTCGGTATCCATCATGGAACAACCAGTGCCTCAAATTAAAATTCTACCAGATTGGTCGGACATGGGTAAGTCTCAATTTAACACACTTTTTACTGGAAACTTATAATTTCACCCACCATTTGACGGTAAAGTGTTCGCACGGCCAATAATATACCGCGTTCGGTGAAAATTTTATTTCAAAAAAGTTTTTTTATATCAACTATTCTGAAAGTGTTTCAAGAAATTGAGTTAATGACAGTTACACGTTAAATAAAATTTAAGTGATGTAAATAAAGTCTATGAGTAACTGAAACTTCAAATTTCAATTTGATATCCTCCCTTCTCTCGAAATAGCGCGTTAGCCAGCGACGTCCCATCTGCATTAACTCATACATTGAAGAAACAAAGCAGCGTATATGAACATTAGGGTATTAACTTCCATTGCAGTTTGTTGTTTCTAATGAGAATGAGATTCAAACCTACTTTTCACAAAAGTCTGACTGTAAATTAATCTGTAATTAAATTCCCTGAAAATGTCAATTTAATACCTAATACATAATCTTTAGCAAAAATAGGTTTTAAACAGATGGAAATTGCAAAAAATGATTTACCACCAAATAATACAGTTTAAAAACCTCTGCAGAAATGCAGCTATTGCCCATCATTTGCAATCCTCAATATTCTCTTTCCACTGTCTACCAGTATAGTTAGCAATATTTGCCGATTCAAAGTGGTTGATAAAATGGCAAGTAGGTCAATATTGCTTACTATATTTAGATAAGCACGTACAATGTATGTTGATTGCAATATATGGGTATACAGCGTATAAAATAAATGTTTTGTTTACGTCATTTTAAAGAACTGAATTTTAAAGAATTCTTTAAGAATGCAAACCATATAACCCCCACCGATAAACAATTTTCAAAAATTATGACTATTGTCGCGGCGGTAACATGTCATTAATGTTTATGACTTTGATTTTCCTTTGATTTACAGTGTACGCGCGATGTTCTCTGCAAAATTAACGGTAATCCCCGCTTCTGATTATTAGGTCAAGATTTACAAATATCAATTGAAAATAAAATCAATGACAACGCAACCGGCTTAAGAGCAAGTGATTTGATCACCCTATGGACGTCTGAAGGTTATCATCAAATCTAAAGTTTTAAGATTCGATAAGAAAAAGGCTTTCTCTTTTTTAAACTTTTTGTTAGTTTATATATTAAAGTTACTCACAACTAACAACTTCTTGCAACGGAAAGTGAGCCTAGGAATTTTTTTTATTGCTGTGAATGATATATTAGGGTGTCGGTTATTAGCAAAAATCTGTAAGCTAAGCGGATTGATGGTTTTTAGAGCATACTCTATAGCTGACCTCACAAATGCCTAATGTCATTTGAAATTAGCTACAGTTGCGGAAAGTTTTAGTTACCAAGCTAAAAAGCTCACTCAAAAGGCGTTTTGTTTAGTATACGGGTTAATCTGATAAAATACAGTGAAAAGATAATATTTTATTTAATTATACTTAAGGAATTATAAATTCAGAAGTCAGTTGAAAAGACACTTAAAAAAAGTTCTGTCTGCAATATATCAAAAATTTTGTATACATTATTTATTTTTGGGTTTTTGAATTTATATTAAACTGACTACAAGTGCAAACTCTCTAATCTTTATTAGGTTATTTGTTGTTTTAGCTTTTCAAATTCCATTACTACCATTACAATTCCGCACTGACTTAAACAAATTTAATCATTACAACATTATTTCTTCGGTAAATAAATATTGTCAACTAGTTGCCGCACCCCAAAAAAGGTAAATAAGAAAAACACCAATAAAAATTATTAAAAAACTTTTTAAACCTGCGACGTTGTCTTTATGAAAAAGTATGACATTTTCAAGAGCCTATTGCTACATCACAGTAAAATTTTGTCCTCGTCCTTATAAAATGACGAGCATTATGTATTCCAACATCGTAAGGCAATTCTAAAGAAGGCAGCAAAACCAAATAAATAATATTCAGTTATACGTAGGCTATCACATTCAGTAAAAAGAAGTAAGTGAAGTTCGAATGTTACCTTTGTTACAAGAAATATTGGACATTTTAAAATGATCCACAAGCAAACATTTCAAGAAGGTAAGACATTCAAAGTTATTTGCTGTGGATATATGTATGATTTATTTATTAAATTCCACATAAATTTTAGGATAGTTGGAAAATATCTGTAGTTAATTGTTGCTTTGTTATGCTTTCTCCGTAAAACAAAGAAAATAAAAAAAAATAAGCACCACATGTTCAAAATTAGTGAATTACTAATTATTAGTTTGAACCAGTTGCAGTTGCGTGAGTCATTAGATATTTGTCTTGGTTTAAACCCATACTCGAATGACTTGTTATGTTTCCTAAGATTTAGACTTGAGCAAAACTCATTTCAATTTTTTTAATAAATAAAAAGTTTAATTGCATCAAGTGAAAAGTAACAAATTTATCTAAAGTGTTCTCTCATTAAAACCGTTTTTCTATATCATTCTATACTCTAATTGTTTTGAGTAGGTATACTTTCCTAATTAGCAGCTAATGCTGTAAAGATAAAAATGGTAACTTAAATAATTTTCTACCAATTTTGACGAACATAAAAAGTGGCATTTTTCTCAATCTGTTTTAGTATAAAAATAAATTAATTGAAAATAGATATATCTATACATATTTTTATTTCTCTATGATTGCGTCTCCTTTCAAAGGTCATACGGACGATTATTATTTTATACCGGGTGATGCATTGCCGAACGGAACATAGGAAATCCAATAGAAATTTTTAAGTGGCTAAATATTGGTTCTCCTGTACATTTTATAGCAAATATGTAATATAACATTTTGAAGGAGTCAGTATGATTAACTTATGTGCCGAGTTTGAATAAATTTTAATAAGCCAGTTATTGAATTAAATATGGTGGCAAAATTAAAACATTGTTATAGTTTAGGTAATAAATCAAACACCACAGTTTGATAATGACAACACGAAAATTCGTGACAGTAACAATATTTTTATTTGTGATTGTTATACGTTATTAAACGCGCTATAAATAATATGCTTTATTTAATTGAAGAAAAAGTAAGCATAATTAAGTGGTATTATGCAGTAACCAGTATTAGAGCAGTGTCTGAAATATTTTAATTATCCAATTGGAGTCTAAAGGCTCCGTAATAAATAACTGCAAATGTTCTGCTGAAAATCTCGATAATATAGCAGAAGAAGGAGCCAATAGAAATTTGAACATTTTATTGCATGTTGAAGAAAACAAAATTATTAATACGAGGATTCTTGGACAAGTTGTATATAAACATCACAACACAGTATTGCGCACATTAAAAAACACAAACATTTTTCCTATAAATACGAAAAGCATCAAGAGTTCCGGGAAGGCGATGAAGAAAGCAGAGTAGCATTTTGTTTTGAAATTATGGAAAACGCAAGTATCGAAAGGTATTTTTAAAAAGAAGAAGATATTGTTCGAGAAGATCAGGAGTTCTGGTACCGGATAGTTAGGGAGTACTTGCGAAATATTTTTAACCGTAATATTATTTGCCCAAGGTGTCGAATCTTTTGGTCACCCAGGTCACCTGACCTCGCGCCAAACGACTTCTTTCTGTGGAGTCACTTGAAAAGTGTTATCTATAAAAATGTTAAATTTGAAAGTCTTAACCATTTACATATTTCCTTATAATGTGGCAGAATTTCACAATAGCTAAGCAACTAAGCAATGTTAGAAATGAATTTTATGATCGTTTATTTAACTGTTAATTGAGGGTTGTTTGAACATTTATATTATAATTATTAATTATTTTTAATAAAAAAACTTGAGGATTGAGATTTATAGTCGTTCCTTGAAGCTTCTTTGTTTCTTAAATCGTTCTTTAAATGAAATTCAAATTCAAATTTAAATGAATCCAAATGTGCATGTCTTTATTTGAAACCAACCTTAATTTGATTATGTCATTGTCATCAAGTTTTGGAAATAGCGTCATGAAAAATACTCGCTGGTGTTTATTGTATTGACCTTTTGCAATTTTCCCATCATATTTAATTCAATAACTGAAGATTGGCTTATTAAAATTTATTCAAACTCGGTACATGAGTTAATCATACCGAACCCTTCAAAAAGTTATATTACATCTTTGCTATAAAATGTACAGTGGACCAACATTTGGGCACCTAAAAATGTATATGGATTTCCTATGTTCCATCCCGGTCTAATAATAACATTTATTTAAAACATTTCGCTTTATATCAAATGTCATTAGCAAGTAAGCATTGAAAAAAAAAACGCGTTGCCATGTTCACAAAATCATACCTTTTTTTCGTTAAATAGCGACAATTTAAGAAGTTCCAATATTGGTTTACAGGTGCAATGGAGAACTGCATGGGACATCTAACTCATTTAGGTTACTAAAAACTTGCCTATCTCTTTCTAATATCAAAGGTTGATTTTTATGTATAAATTGTTTAAATTTCTTTATTTTTCAAGTGAATGACTTTTGGCCAAACGTTTTTGAAGATATTGTCGCAATTTTCTGTTTCTATTTAAGTATGCCTGACATTTTAAGATGTCAAAGGAGTATAGCTGCCTTACACCGAATAGCCCACTAACTTCATAAAGGCCATCTGTTGCATAAGTTTTGTGCTTGTGCTTGTTGTAAATTTAGTTCTTTTTAGTAGTCTTTAAGATGCTAATGATATTTCTGAATTCAATAAATCGTATAAATAAAAATATCACCAGAAACATTGATTAAAAAAATGCATCAAAAATAATTTTTTTCCAACTGCTCAACATATGAAGCATTTAAAAAAAATATTGATAAATTTATTGGTAATAAAGTAATAATAAAAAGGAATTTACGTGCCATGCATACTTTGCCAAAGACGTTTTACATTTTGTGCCAATGAAAAGAGTGTAAAAGGGCATTTTTTTATGGGACACTCTGTTTAGTTCGTTGTTACAGGAAATCATTTTGTGATATAAATAAACAGCCGCGCCGCGCCGTAATAGAGTTCATTAAAAAAAACTGTTTCCCCCAACACAATTGCTCAATTGTGTGATCTCTACCTTGAAATTTTAATGAAGTCGTCAATTCGGGGTCAAGCTTTTTTAATTCGCAATTTAGGAAATCATTTTCGATACAGATGCCGCTGCTGAACCGAAAGCCGGCGACAAGATTCAGAGATGCGGCCCTCAAAAGCCCCCACCTTATAGAAGGATGAGTATATTGATGTTAGAAGATAGGACCGACAATTTTGAAAACGTATTCGCCACATCCGATAATATGGACAAAAGGAAAATGGCATACGAGAATCAGAACGGTAAGGCGTATTTTGGGCGATTTTTTGTTATTTTACACAAACACACCTTCAACTGTAGAAATGAATTCAATATGTACCAGGTTATTTGAAATTAAAAATTGAACAATTACCCAGAACCCCTTATAGATTGACACTTGGAGATTTTAGCTATTCCACAAACACCTTTTGAGAATTAATCCTTCTAAATCGGAAAGGATGCTATTTTGTACTATCTGTCACTATGACACCTTGGAAACTTCCAACATTCCGCACAAAAATTTGCATACAAAATTGAATTTTACTAACATATTACTGTTTTGAAAACTGCTTATTGTATTTTAAAATCCCTTTACCCACTTAAACATTAATTCAATATTCAGACTAAAATGTTTTCTGATCTTTTCATATTTTAATTATTGCAACCAAATATATGACCCATTTTTGATTTTTTTTAATATAGAAAAAATTATTGCTTTTTGACCTCACTGGCTGCAATGCCTAAACAAATTCAAGAGGAGCATTTATTAAGCTTTATTTATAAAATAATTAGAACTAAAACGCTATTATTCGATTCTTCAATTCTTACATTTAAGAAAACATATAATTTTCAATAAATTTTGTCCACAGCGTTCTCGTCCCCCTCCCTTAACCTCAACAGTTTGTTAAACATTTTGTACCAGATGCTGTAATAGGCTAGAATTAGGTCCTGTGTTTTTCTCAAAATAATGCGTCATCTAACAACAACACAATTGGCCCTACAGAACTATATACATTGTGAAACCTTGACGCTTTATTCTTTAAATCGTTGCTTTTTATCTTATTCATGCATTATTTGGATGTTTTATTGTTATTATAACATAAGATACGCAGGTACACACTCTCTGTTACTCTATTATCAGCTTCATCTTTTCACCTTTTTCTGAATCTAAAATTGCAGATTGGGGAGGTAGCCCCTGAACTCAGTTGTTTCCTTAATATGTAATTATCTTTTAATATACCTACTAATTACAGATATGTATTTGTATGTTCGACTCTCATCAATTCTCATTTAAACTAATGTTTCAAACAAAATAACATCATGAAACAGACGAAGAGTAAGAAAATCTATATGGTAATTGCATTTTAAATTCCCATTAAAAGAAAACAAGCAGAATCACTACATAATTATAGAAAAGCAAAAATTAATCTAAAATGTTGGGAATAACAATACAACTTTAAGAAAGCACCAAGAATATTTGATTCTGACACAAAACAAGTATTTTATGTAAACTTCACTACCACCATCATTTAATTAACCATTTAAATATTTAATTAAACTTTGTTATGCTCTACATGGAATTAATTTAATTAATTAATCATGTTTCAGGTATAAGAAACGAACCCGATATGATATCCAATAAATCGAGTGTCATCGGGAAGCGCCATGTAAATAACGAGGACTGTCAAGACAGGTTCGTATAAGTTTAAGAAAAATTATTGAATTTATAACAATTTAATATGGAATCAAGCATTAAGTATTTAGTTGATAAATTCCTAATGAATAAATAAATAATATTTTGTTAACATGTAAGGTTAAGATGGAGGTTAAAATGATAGAGGATCACGGTCTACAAACGGCCAATCCTAAGTACTGTTAGCGCCTCTTACGTTGCATTGCTTTATTTTTTAGGTCATGGTGGTACGTATTTTGCATAAAATGCCGCTCGCGAGAGTCTCATCCTTCGTGGCAACCGATGTGTTGGCGAAAATTTTGCCCTTATCCGTTTTGTCCGACCTACAGACAATTCTCCAGAGTTATATCATTAATTATAATAGGATTTTTATCCTGGTGCGTGATTTATTCTTTGGTCGGAGACACGGCGACCCCGCCAAACGGAAAACTATTTCAGCTGATACTGATTAGTATATCGTCCTATTTGGTGGGATGGGTTCTCAGTCTGACGACCCTTCCTGCACTCATAGGGATGCTATTTACGGGTCTGTTTTTGCAGAACGTCGGCATCGTCAATCTGGACGAGTCTTTTTTCGAAGTGGCTAATCGAATTCGGTAAGCAGCTCACCACAAAACATTAATTCAACTAATATTTTCTAATCTTTACTTAGCCACGGCGCTTTAGTTATTATTCTGATACGTGCGGGGCTAGATTTAGACCCGAAGGCCCTTTGGCGTTTAAAGTTCATAGTAGTAAGACTGAGTCTAATTCCTTGGCTGATTGAAGCTGTGGTATGTGCCTTGGCCACGAGATACCTCCTGGGAATGGCGTGGAGATACACCATTCTGCTTGGTACTATCATAGCCGCTGTAGCTCCTGCAGTGGTCGTACCTTGCCTTTTTAGGTATTACCCTCCTATCGAATTGATATCGATATGGTTAAGCCAATCGTCGCTTTTCAGATTAAGAAGTAAAGGTTATGGTGTGACTAAAGGAATACCCACGCTAATCATAGCAGTCGCTGGTATAGACGATGCGTTATCGGTCGCTGGCTTCGGTATAATCAAAAGCGTAACCTTTTCAAACAGTTCTCTTACTTCTTTGGTCCTCCAAGGACCCGTGTCTATTTTAGGCGGATTTTGTTTTGGTATTGCTTTCGGTTTGTTATTGAAATATGTACCAGAAAGGAACGATAAATTTTTGGTAAGTTTGAACAGTATGTAATTAAATGGCTAGACATTGATAGAAATATCGTCTATTGATTAAAAAGGAAAACGGCAAATGCCTGGTTCCGCTGAATATCCGAAAAGGATTAATAAAAATTAATGGCTATAAAAGTGCATATTTTTTTCAAAATATTCAAATATATAGAGTGTTTTATAAAAATCTAAATTTATTTTTAATTCTATTATAAATCGTACTTATGCATTACTGCATACATCTAACGACTTTTGAAATATTTTAAATTTAAGTAAGTTAACTATCAATTTTTCCTAAAAAGAAATTTTTGTTAATTTTCTCAGTTAAGACGGATATAATCAAAAAATAAAATGCAATGAAGCTTGAAACTGCCAAAAGCAAATGGAGACTAATCATGTGTTACAATTGTATCTCTTTTAGCTTAAAAAATAAAGTAAAGAAAGTAAAATTTGAATAAGAGTATATTTTTTAATAAAATGTAGTTTTCAAAATATGATCTTATACATTGCTTGTAAAAATGATTTGATCTGCTAAATGCTCTTGAGTTTAATTTTTTGCTAGACATGAAGACGCTTGACAACAATCCATTAGGTACTGTCCCTATATTTGTTATCCTTTGGTATCCTATCATATAACTGATTATTTTTTATGTTATCGAATTTTGTTTATAGATATATTTTTTGTATTTCATTATGTAGTTTCGATATGGCAAAGAATTCAACAGTACATCATAGAACTGTTTCTAATTTATACTTCTATATATAACTAACTATCATAATAATATCCTCTACGACAAACATTTCTACGCAAATCATTAATTTATTAATAAATAACAATCAAACACGATATATGAAAACTTCTGTTTTAGTAATGATAAATGCTGCAATTTCTTCATAGCTCAATTGTTTTTTCCTAGTTGTAGGAATATGTACTTACTTCTACAACAGTTCACAATTTATTCATACCCTTTAGAGGTTTTCAGCGGTTTATAAATATCCGCAGCTGACTTTCATAAAACAAAACAACACTTAGCAATAGAGAGTCGAAATACCTTTCAAACGAAGTATCATTTCTCATTACAACCTTGTTAACCATTGTCAAGTGGTCAACTATCACTTTGATTTGAAAAAGTAAGGCATTTTCATAGTTAACTTAAATTAAAGTGTCCCATATAGCAGCAGGTGAAACTATGAATCAAAATATTTAATTCGTTTTCAACACATTGAATATTTGCAACGGTCGATATGTACGATATACATTTATTGGACAAATCTTATTATTTTGTTATATGTATATGTATATACATACAGAAATGTATAAAATCATAGTTCAACTGTAATAGCCACTTGACTAATCAACCAAAAGCATGAAGTTTGCTCTGAACGGAAAACAGAGTAGAAATTAAACAAAATTTTAAATTAACCATAATTTTGCCACACAACGTCGCCGCCGTATTGCAAAAATTTTTAGGTGCCGTTTAGAGTAATAATGCTCTTAGCAGCCGGCATGGCCGCGATCTATTTCAGCGACCATTTGGGATATGGCGGCGCAGGTCCTCTGGGGGCCGTGGTGGCAGCATTCGTCGCTTTGAAATTCTGGACTGTACAAGGTTGGAGTATCGAGGAGAATCCAGTCTCTACGGCCTTCGAGATATTCTGGATGATAGTCGAACCTGTTCTATTTGGGATCACTGGCGCGCAAATGAGACTTAATGAACTGAAGGGGTCTGTGGTTATGATCGGTTTCGGAATAGTGGTCTTGGGTGTAGCGGTACGGATTGTGGGCACGATGATTATTGGAATTGGCTGCAATCTCAACTTGAAGGAGAAGATATTTTGCGCTCTAGCTTGGATGCCCAAAGCTACTGTCCAGGTAACTTTACAATATTTTTTCAAACATTTGAGGTAAAGGGTTTTTCTACAAGTTTTCGCACTCCACCTCCACAGTAAGCCGTAAGTCATAGAAAAGAGTCACAAAGTCACAAAGTTAGTGAATTTTGACTGGTCAATGTTTTTTTAGACATCAATATTTTAACTACGAATTTCATGTTCTAAATTAGAGGTTAAAGTTCTTAACTTAGCACAAGAACTAATCACATCAAGTTGATTTTTTTGGTGGCCAATAATACCGCCCGGTTAACGCATTTCTGTTAACATTTTCGAAAATTATATCAAATTTTCCATATGGTTTATGTGTACATGCCATTAATAATATTATTTTTCTAGTCCCCACCCAATATACCCAATTAAGCACCGATCAGACCTGTTCAAAGTATAAGCTTTGTTAAACAGTTTCACTAACTACGTTTCCGATGATGGTATTTTAACGATTATCCGTTGTTATGATCATATCGCGCGTCCCTCAGGAAATGTGTTCGTGATATTTTGCAAAAACTAATATTTCTTATGTGGAGGTATTAAACTATATTTTCATAACACTAACGCTGAAATAAATAATTGTTGGGGCTCCAGTTCTTTATAGCGTTATGAGATAAAACAACAAATCCATTGAAACAGCCGCCCTTGAGATTAATTCATTATTACTAACAGGGTACTAAAATGGAAATGGATGGGCAGAAAGTCTAGGTCAAAGGCATCGGAATTCCTTAAAAATCCATATGCTAAATTTGCATCCCAGGCTACACTGCTACGCTCCGTTTGAGACGAAATTTTCCCAAGCCTACACTGCACCATCCATGAAAATGATACAATAAGTTTTAGTTCATTAAAAATTGTACCAAAATTTGAGCCATATTCACTTTTCACACCCTGTATCGTATCGTTTGATAAAAGCAACTTTACCTATCGAATTTGTTTTATTACTTAGTTATCGGATTTTTCAAATTTATGACCATTGTATTCACACCGTATGTTAAAAACGAAGAAATTTGATCGCTCCCTTAGAAAGAAGATTAAGTACTTAAAATAATGACTTCTAACTTTGAAACCACTCTGTATAGATTAGTTGGAGAAAATATCAACCAAACCAATAGGAAAAACCATAAAAGATCTATAAACTTAAAACAAAATATATAACGTTCATACGTTATATATTATCACTTACGAGTACCCTGTAGGTAGGGTGCAAAAGTATACTGGAACATTTTCATTTTCGATAGCTGATTTACTTTTAGTTAGTTAAAGTCGTGGGTCTTCTTTGGATATGTCATTTTAATTGTCTCATAAAATAATTTTTTATTGAAGGTCATTGCTAAAACCTTTTTTAATTTCATACATCAATTAGATTGGATCAATGTATTAGCAATAATTTATCAAATTAAAGTTGAATATCCAAAAAGAATGCTTGTTTTAAAGGAGACTGAGAAACAGTGCCATTTCTTTTCGCCAATGTAACAAAACATAGAGATCTTTATAAATTAAAAGAAGAGACCAGCATGTGCTTCGTGAATATATTGCTAATGATGTGGTGTACTGAATCATATGAATTTTTAATAAATATGGGTAGTGTAGTTGACATGTGATTTTAGGCAGCTCTCGCACCGATTGTACTCTCCGAGATCACGGACACGACCTCGGAGGAATATAAGTGGGCCAAGAAGATTATCGTGATTTGTATCTTGTCCATCATGTTCACAACAACCACCGGGGCCACCCTGGTGTCTCTTTTGGGAACTAAACTGCTGAGAAAAACGAAATTCGCTGTCGAACCCGATCTATGGAGGAGGTCGCATCGACCTTCCGTTAGGGACATCAGCATATTCGATGAAGACGAGGAGGAAAAAGAAGCAGACGACGCTGAAAACAACTCGGTGATTACGTTACCCGAGAATACCACGTCGACAGTTCAAATAAACAAAATAGAATGAATTGCTGATTATATGTGATGAAATGGTGAATTAGCTAAGCTGTAATTTATTTTGATATTATTGTTATAGTTAGTCTATAAAAGATCCTTCAGGATCTGTAAATAAATGTGGACTCGCACAATATCAATTGAACGTAGTAATTGAACTTAAACTTAACTTCTAGTGTGATCCGTATTTCGGAATCTACTACACTCCGGCTGCAAATTTAGCCTATTGATTTTTCAGGAATTCCTCGCGCCTTTGTCCTAGACTTTCTACTCATCTATTTCGATTTTGGTACTCTGTTACTGTTAGTAATAATGAATTAATCTCAAGGTCGGCAACAAATGGCAAAAATACCCATTATAATGGTCCCAGCCTAATATTCTAGAAAGATTGATCCAAAAACCTTGAAGAAAATAAGATTTCCCATGGTGCCGGTTGCCCAAATCTTGCAACCTCGCATTTATTAAATTAAAATAAGAAAAAAAACTGTTTCAATGGATTCGTTATTTTATCTATTAACACTACAAAGAATTGGAACCTCAACAATTATTTAATTCAGTATTAGTATTGTGAAAATTTAGTTTAATACCTCCAGATATGAAATGTGAAGTATTATTTGTCTGCTAAAACGACAAAAGCCTCCTGATTAATTTTTGGAACAAACACTGTTAATTTCAACGCCAATTGATCACCAATAGTTTAATTAATCCAAATTACAAAACAAGGTAACTCACCAGTGCAACCTACTTCTTCAAGCAACGCAAAACAAAATGGCTAACTTGTTCGAAAGTTCATCATTTTCTATGTTCATAATCTACACGCGTTTTTCAATAAATCACAGTTTTATTTTTTATTCATTCGGCAGTAGTAGCGAACAGCATCTCCAGTTTAACCTTAAGTAGTAATTGTCTTTACCAAACCAGCTACAAAAACTTCCAGTTTATGATTTTACATTGACTGCACTCACATTACATTGTATGAAATTTCGAAAAAAGCAGTAGTACAGTGTCGGTGATAATTCAAAATAAACTATGATTTACAAAAAAATTGTTTATTTCGTCGAAAGAAAAAATTCTTCTCCAAAACTTTTACTCCCACAAAATAACTATAGTCTCAATCTCGGCATGTTCATAGGGTTATTGCAATGCTCTCATATGACGGTGTTTCGCTCTTTAGAAAATAAGTGGCGCGGCGAGTATCGTTTCAGAAATCATAAAAATAAATTGTACATCTTCACTCGCCCTTAACAAAGAGTGTTAGTTTTAATTTTATATTTGTAATCCAAGATTGTTTACTTTTATTTGTTAGACAGAGTTAACCTAACCAAAAGTCATGACTGTTCCGAGAGCTATGTAATTAGATCTAGTGTGTGTCCATGTCCATAAAAGGGTTTGTTTACTATTTTTTATTCTTGTAGTTTGGTGTGTCCCATATTGTTACTGAAATAAAATTACATTTGATGAGTAGTCATACTTAGAACTATAAAGGCTAATTTGTTTATCGTCCATCAAAGATTTTTATTTCTTGTTACCAAATAACTGAAACTACAGTTTTCAAAAAAACCCAACAACATAACACATAGACGTCAATTTTCGTTAGTTTTGTATCACAACCACGTACCAAATAAATAGCCAATTTAATTAATGTTCCGATCATTTGACAACGTAATCGACCGTTGTCAAATGATGGGACATTTCACAGCCAACGCGATTATCAATCTGACAAAGAGATGTCCGATTGAGGTCACAGTGATCCTGTTGGGCCGGATAGGCACTTTTTATCCGATTTCAACCGAACAAAATATCGATCCGGCGAGATCTGTATTCACTAATTAGATTATAGAATGTCAGTAAAATAACAAGCTAAGTTTTTCCTTTTACATTTTCTTGCATTACTTTTACATTACTTCTTGCATTTTAACGAGAGTTAAAGCAAATCTCCTCGTTTATGAGATGTCTGTGAGTTAGCGACAGAAAAATGCATCAAGCTTATCGGCAGGAGTACCTCTGCGTGGAAAATATTTCCGCTATAAAGAGTCATTGTCCATTCTGAAATTTAACTTCAATAAGTCCAATTTACCAATGTGCGAGGACTAATTGAGTAAAAAAAAACGGTTTTTGTAAATTCCTATTTATTATAAAAAAATACAAATATAATATATACAAGACGCATATAAAATATCTAATTAGCACCTTCCAAAAATTATTTGTTACTAATAATTATTTAAGCAAACATTACATAATCACATCACAAGGTGGTAAAATTAGGTGCCCTTAATAAAACATTTTTGTAGTACTTAAAATAATTTTCCAGATGTTCAATTAAGATTGATGTGAAAGGTCTATGATGATATATTCTATTGATTGTAAAGAAATGCTTAAAGACGTTGGATTGCTCCAAATGCCTAATACGACAACAAACACAAATATGGATGAATATAAAACGACAAAATAAACACTGGTTGGTGGAATAAAAAAAAACAATAAATAAAATTAATAAAACAACAACATAAAGGAGTATGTTTCTGTAACTATTGCTCAGACCTGTCGAAAAGTCTGACTCGGCCTGTGTAAGTAGCCAGCACGCGCCAATTTGGAAGTGTATTTTACTCGGGAAGTGAGTTCTGCCTCTGGAAACTATCTTTGGCGATCTTGCGAAGTTGTTCAGATAGCGTTTTGCCGGTACCGTTCACCATATTGGAGAATATACTCTCTGGATTTTGGAGAAGCACATGGGGGTGGTCGAATTCCGCCAGCGTTCCAGCATCCATAACCAGAACTTTGTCTGAATCCATGATGGTGTTCAGTCTGTGCGCTACAGTCATAACTGTGCAGTCGGCGAATTTCTTGCGTATAGTTTTCTGGATTAGGGCATCCGTTCTGTACAAACACAGCATTTATATTTACATATGTAAAAAAAAACATGAGATTAGATTAATCCTTATATTTGATACCAATAAACTCGACAAGAGTATTTTGATTTTTATTGCTGAAATGAAACATTGAAAACATTTTTATATTTAGAGTTATTACCCCCTTGATAAGCTAAATCTTGTTGCTCTGTAACGTCGTATTTCAGGCGTCCCAAAAAAAACATTAAACATTCAAGATGTCAATTAAAAAATGTATAAATCAAAAAAATAAAAGCATACGTAAATGACTCTTGTCTCTTTCAAACGAAAACCAGTAAATTATTGTGTCTATGTGACTCTACGAAAATATGTATAAAACTAAGTTATAATGACCAACCAAAATCTAAATTATACTTACTGAGGATCAACATTCGCCGTCGCCTCATCCAGCACCAAAATTTTGTTGTTCCTGAGGATGGCGCGTGCCAAACAGATCAACTGTCTCTGGCCCACGCTGTAATTTGTACCCTTATCCATGACCCTGTTCTCCAATCTATTAATGATATTTGAGGGATCTTTCAACTCCACCTCTTCTATAGCTCTGTACAATGCCTCATCCGTGTACTCTTCGAACGGATCCAAGTTGTATCTCAAGGTTCCCGAAAACAGCACCGGATCTTGAGGAATGATTGAGATTTTCGAACGCAGCGCTTCCAAACCCAATTCTTTGGTATCGATGCCGTCAATTTTAATTTGACCTTCGATGTTCGCTAACCGAAAGAGTGCGGATATTAGGGACGATTTGCCAGCACCCGTTCTGCCTACAATGCCGACCTAGAAAATTTTAACTCGCGTTAATCGCCGTCTACGACCAAACAATCCGAAGATATATCCAAAACAGACCAAAAAATTAAATGATAGAATCCCTATAATGTAAAGTGCATCAATTATTTCGCAAACTGAGAGGTCTAAAACAATTTTTGTGTGTATCAAACAGAAAGTAATCAAATAGGTAGTTTTCTAAAATACCAGAACAAGAATTAAAAAAAAACGCGTTGTCTGAAAGTAATTTTATCGCGAAGAGAGTGGATTTCAATTCATAATTTCTACAATGACCAAGTTAAGCCTCGGTTAATTTTGAGCTGTAGGTCAAATTATTAAGAATTTAACAAAGAAATTTTAAAATATTTATTGTTCTGATTCTTATTTAATTAATTCATATATGTGGTAAATCATTGTCTGCATATATATCGAAGTCGTTGAATAAAACGCCGAATACGAACCTTTTCCCTAGCAGCAATATCCAAATTCAGCATCTTGATCACCAAAGGACCATTCTCGTCGTACTTAAGTCCCATACTCGCAAACTCAATTTGGCCCCGGTCAGGCCATGATTTCGGTGGTATTTTTGGCACTTCCGGCTGTTTTTCACGAGGCAATTGTTTGTATTCCAGCACCCTCTCCACTGACATGAGCTGATTGGCTACTTCGGCTGATTGCCTCAGACCCCATTGCAACATACCTGTCAGAGCCATTGATTGGGTGATGGCCAGTCCGACTTCACCGCCACTTAAGCCCATACCTAATATGAATAACAAATAAACCAAAAATATAACCTATGCGGGTTAATTTTAAGAAATTATCGTTTTTCACTAATTATGAACAAAGTACAAGTTATCAAAACAAAAAATTGAGGATTAACGGTTTTTGTTAAATTCAATTGTTGCAATGCATTTCTTAAAAAATGAAAATTCTGCAAAAAAAATCTTCCAATTTTCAAGAAAAAAGTTAGATTACCCCCATCCATGTAAAAATTTAGGAGGTCCGTTTTTTTTATGCATATACCTTAGAAATACCAATTATCTCCAATAATTGCAGGCCCTGTTGAAAATTTTGTTCTCACCCGAATTTTAACATTGTTCATTGAAAATATTACATAATAAATGCATACCTTCTCCGAAAGTGAGGAAACTAAACGTGATGATAGTGACGAAACAGAAACAGAGAGCGTCCATGTAAAAGCCGAAAGCCGAGCTGGCAGCGATGTACATGAACCAAGCACTGGTATGTCCATCCTGGTGCTTGTCGAATTCGTCGCGAAGGATATCTTGGGCGCCGAATGCGCGGATGGTAGTTAGACCCTGGAGTGTGGCATTCAAGTGAGTGAATGCCGGACTTCGCACTGAAAACCACACCTCACCTTAACATCTACATTTTATTTAATGATTAATAATAGATCTTGTAAGGGTAAGATCGGTACTCGTTCTGAAACTGTCTCTACACTGTAAGCCTGTAGCTTTAGAAAAAAAAGTTCTTATTTAAGAGAGCTTCATCGGCAGTGATTATGTAAACTGCTGCTGTTGCAACGGCTTAAGTTTAAGCTTGGTTTAAGGAAATGCGCATCCACCGCTACAGGTTTCACTTCTAGGAAAACAAACAGTTCTATGCTAAATTATTTATTGAAATACTTACTGATTCCTTCAAGACGTTTAATGTTCTTTGAACTCTTCAGGAAAATGTGCCTCCATCCGAGGGATATGATTCCGACCACTAAAACTACTACTAAGAACATTGGATTGACCACGGTGATTAAGACGATTGACCCAGCACCCATGAGAATAATCTGGAAAAGGTAATATATATCTCAGGAGATTGGCTTCACGCAGAACTTTTTTTTGCTGAATGAAACAAAATATTTAGGAAATAAATAAGAAATTACAATTCGAAAAAAGTTCTAAAAAGGTGGCTACACTTTTATTAAAATTAGCCAGTTGAATAGGGTGTCCATGTTTGATATCTTATACGACCTCTTGAGCAGCTTTCAGTACTTCCTCCAGATTTATTGCGCAGTGCCAGGACAGAAATTTGTCAGATCTTATCATATTTTTTTAGATAGATAAAAACAGACACTTAGAAATTAGCACTTCTAAACTGTAAGACTTTAGTTTCTACGCCAAAAATGACTTAGACGTGATTATTGATACATCTAACCATGTGCTCACCTGCGCAGCATCTAAAACGGCTTTGGGGAGCAACTCGTCCACTGACCCGATATCCTTAGAAAACCTGTTCAAAATCCTGCCTCCTGGGTTCGTATCGAAAAATCTCATTGTCGCGCTGATCATACTCTCAAATATAGAGTCGTGCAACTTCTGAGAGCTCATCATCGACAGCTTGTAAAACAATAGTGATCTCAGTAATGCAATGATGAAAACAGAAATGATCAAACCACCGTAGATCATTAAAAACAACTCGCGATCCCAGTAGTAAGCATTAAATGGATTTGTCAAAGGTTCCACTGTGACATTAACCAATTTTTCTTCTTCTATTTTAGTCCAAAAGGTGACGAAGTAGTCCACACCGCTAGCGGCGGCCTGGGCCAGAAGGTAAAGCAAAAGGACGATCAAGATGAAGAACCCGTTGCTGCCCGCAAACATGTACTTAAGCAGGAGGTTTCCTTTGACTTTACCCTTTGACGACTCTTCTTGCATCTCCCTGGCGTTTGCTTGGTTCTGCTCCGCTTCGTCGTCGGTTTCATCCTCACCTTCGGCCAAAACTGCTTCTGGAATGCTGAGTTCACTCATCGCGCTAGCTAAGGATTTTATGCTTCTCGCAGACATTTTCCTGCTGCGCTGTTTCCCACTGTCCGTCAGTTGTTGCTTTTGTTTTTCCTCGTCCGTTTGCTGTTCTTGCTCAGCAGTTAGAAGTTTGGCATAGAGGTTGTCGCTCTGGGACAGTTTCTGGAAGTTTCCTTCGTTTTCGATCCGCCCCTGGAAAGCAAATTCTAAAAAATACCTACGGGAAATGAGTTTCACCAAGAAACTGGAATCCTTCCACCTCAAAATCGTTTAACATTCAGAGTGAAGTAAAAGTATACAAAAAGAAAAAATATGAACCCCAATGATCTTGCCTTAAAACGTGGTATATATTCTGACCCAAAATTTGAGATAATGTGCTATATTTCTTTATTTTTAATGATGATTAACGCCATTTACAGCCTTTCAGGAAAGGTACACTCACATTATTCAATATGATGATGTTGTCGGCATCTTTTAGATGATGGACCTGATGGGTAACAAGTATCCTGGTTTTGTTACTAAGATATCCGTTGATACAGAGGTCGTACAGGTGCTTTGAAACGTGAATATCGACTGCAGACAGAGGGTCGTCCAGCAAATAAATATCCGCCTGTCTGTAAATAGCGCGAGCTAGATTGATCCTAGCTTTCTGACCGCCGCTCAACGATGCACCTAAAAATTGCATAAAACAACGAGATTTGCGAAATATTTAACACCACGGATGTCAAATTTTACCTCTGTCCCCTACCAACGTTAGATCTCCGTGAGGGAATTGCTCGAAGTCTTTTTCCAGTGCGCATACTTTTACTACATCGTTATATCTCGTTTTGTCGTATTCCGAACCAAAGAGTATATTCTGACGGACAGTGGCCGCAAATACCCATGCCTCTTGAGATGCGTAAGATATGGTTCCGTTTACGTCGATTTTGCCTGATACTAACTCTAATTCACCTACAATTCTCCCTTTTAGACCCCGATCAAGCTTTTTAAATGAAAAAAATACCGAGAATGGTTTGTAGAAGTGAACTCTTGCCGCTTCCCACAGGCCCGATAACTCCCAGCAACTCTCCCCTAGGAACGTTTATGTTGATATTTTCCAACGCGTTTTCTGAAGAATTGGCGCTCCACTTTACCGTTAAGTCTTGGATACTCAAATGGTATTTTTCTTGTATGGCACGATAGACGTTTCCGTTATTATTCGACTGGGAATCTGTCAGCGAGCAGTACTCTTCGGATAACATTATGCCTTCTAGTCGTTTTACCGCTACTATGAGCTCGGCTATTTCGGATATCCCTCTGACAAACATTTGCGACATGGTTTGCGAAACTACGTTCAAGTACGACATAACGACGAATACCTGGAACCATAGAAATATTTACGTGACTAGAGGTGCTAAATATTCCATCAGAATTGAAAGCAAATTAGAATTAAAGCTGGTGGCACCGAGAATACCCTTCATTAAAATTATCCGTTCGATAGTTCTAAAATATTTAAACTAGCCTGTATATCAAGAAAAAGGGATCATAGTATCTAAAAGTTGTTGGTACCAATTGGTCGAGGTGCAAAAATGATTTTACTTGAATGATTAAGCTGCAACTCTAACCTTGAAAATCCATAATGTTTTTTCAAATTTTTACATACATTTTGGTAGAACAGTTCTGTAATTGCAACAGCTCAGATAATTATTGCTTCAATCCTAGATTTGGACTACACAAATCGGCGCGAAGAAGGCTCAGATTTGAAATACCTTAACCTTTTTTGCGAACAGGGTCCAAATTTAGAAAGCTACAGCATACTCCAATAATTGATGGCAATGAATGAAAAGGTAACTATTATTAATAAAAGGCTCATTAGAGAGCGTGAAATAGCAGAAATTACATTTTCTGCAACTATAACTGCAAAAGGTAATAAAGTTTACGCTGTCTATGCGCAAAACATTGATGGCACTCAAATAACTTGCCCAAATTCCCATCCTAGAAAAAACTTACCGTGGAAGCTGTGATAGGTTTATCAGTCAACGCTAATGTTAATAGCGTACAAAACAGCGACAACCTGGTTGTAAACAAATTGAAAGTCATGTATATTCCCCTGACGTAGGAGCTTTTGGTAATCACTTTTATTTCAGCCTTCCTGGCGAGCCTAATTAACTTAGCGAACGGTTTTTCCCAGGCGTACATCTTGATCACCTGAATACCAGATATTATTTCATCCATAAGACGCACTCTTTCGTCGGTTTTCAACGCTGTAGCTTTCCTATAAACGGCGGACAATTTCCCCGTATAACCTGGAATACATAATTTTGTTTTTCTGCATGATGGTTCGATGCCAACTCACCTTGAAGAGGCACGATTATGAACACTGCTGCGATCCCGATCACGCCAGCATAACCGGCTTCTATATACATGAAGTAGAGGATAATAAGGGTAAGCAGGGGTGCCACCCACATGTGATGAATGAATATGGTTACCATATCGAATCTGCTGACATCATTCGAAAGAAGATTCACCAGTTTTCCGGAAGCCGTGTCTCCCAAAGCTGTCTTGCTGAGTCTCAATGCCTGCAAGAACTTGATAATAGCAATAAGGCCTTACAGAGATAATAGTGGCTAACCTTTCTGTAGATCAGGGCACACGACGAAGCCCTAATCCTCATTCCATAATGAAAAGCGCACATTACATATTGGTTCATTAGTATGGCATTTAACAATGTAATCAATGCGATGGCGCCGGCATAAATTAAAGCTTCGTTCTTTTCTATTAACGGCACAGGTCTGTAAATTTGTAATAAGTTAAAACATAGCAACTAGTTTGGCGGCCTTTAAAAAGAAAACTGACCTGAAATATTTAAGCAGATTGCCCAGCATCATAGGCTGGACTAATGTGAACGCCTGCATAAGCACTAAAATAATACCTAGGATGGTGTATTCGGGCCAAAATGTCTTCAGAATGACTTTCAATAAACTGGCCTTTTTGTTTTTGCGTTTCGCCTTTTCATATGATCTGGTCCACTCCCTGAAAATGTTTTATTTGGTACTATTCATTTTACCGCAGCAGTCGTTCCTTTGCTTGCGCATGACTAAATATTGCACATATGTATAGCTACAATATGATTCTCACTATTTGGCGAATATAATATGAAAAACGAATAAAGGAATAAAATAGAAAACCCATTAAAGCATTTATCAAAATCAAAAAGGGGTAATAGCTTATAGTTGTATTTATTTGTCATCATTATATGCTGCGTTTCTCTCGTGATTTATTCTTTAACTTTAAATCTTTATAATTAATTTGTATTTATATATTTTGTTAAAAATTATTTTCGACTACAAATGAAATGGTGAATTTAGATTTTCTTGCATCTCCTTTCTGTTTGCTTGGGTTTTGTTAGTAAAAATTTGAAAGTGAAGTATCACAAATAACAATGATATTATAATTACCAAAATTGTGTTCTTCTACATTATAACACATTTAAATTTGAAAAAAATTATAATTATCAAGCCACAAAAAATGGATTAGGAATTCTTTTTCCAACAATTTTCGTACATCATCAGTCAATCCGCAATCGTTAAAGATAGGTGCAAAATTCACTAACATCTATCTTCTATCACCGAAACATCCTCATAGCTATGGAAAAATGCATTCAATCAGAATGAGGATTAGTCAAGTAGATTCTATATTAAAGTTAAGTTGGGAAATTCAAATATTCAATAATTAAGACGTTAAATTATTCAGCTTTATAATTGTAAATTGGACGGAAAGATTATATTAATATCCGTTATTTCCCATTAAATATATTATGCTATTTTGAATATTTCGCTCACTCAGTGATCCTTTGATACGTCGCAACTTCGATGTTAATAAATATTTACTTATGAAATTTTGTATATTTCTCAATGAAATAATTTTCAATTCAAAAGTGGAATAATAATTTTACAGAGTACATTTTTTGATGTTTATGTAACAAAAATCCTATTTCGAAATCAGCTGAAAAATACCCAACTCAGAGTATTTCAAATTCAAATGGGTTACACTGTACAAATAAGCGTAAAGCAATTAGCTTAAGGTTTGTGCATAATACGTTTAAAAATGGATCATTCAATTTGTCCTTCATATCGATTAGAGATTTTAACAAAGGGGAATTCGAACTAAGCAATCAAGCTCAAGTATTGAGGGTCGACGAAAATTTCTTATCTCGGCAATAACCAATTTGCCTCGAAACGTTTCGAGTAAAAGAGACGTACCTTTCCATTCGATCGCCCAGCAATTGACTTCTATCGCTATCGGTGGGGTTATATAAATCTTCAACGTCCAGTCTTTTGCTGTAGCCTTTTTTGAACATACCTATAGTGTACCTGCAACAACAATTTCCTGCTAAGCAAATACATTTTTCATTATTTTCCCAAAAATTCGCCAATTTTTTTTGAATTGTTGTTAATTTAATATAACACAATATAGCAATGTACCAAATAGCAACACAAAGTAACATTTTCGTTTATTATTCTATTTTCGATACTTAAAAGTATATAAAAGAAAATTAAATAAAATAGTAAATTGAAACACTTTGGAAAACTTTTGGAGATATAGACACAAACATGTTTGATAAGCCATACTTTAGTCACGAGTTTGTGTCAAGAAGTTTACGGTCGTCATAGTACCACTTAAGCGTCACCCAAACAATCAAAAAATTCAAATTTATACTAAAGTTATATTATGTAGGCCTTTTTCTTTATTACAATTCTGATATTTAAATTACGAAACACAGGCGATCTTTCCTCTACTACATTTCGCTTGTGGCTTTGGTGTGAGTAAAATTTTTCAAAACTTATCCTTATGCCAACAAAACCTGATCTATTGTAATAACTTTTACACTTTCTTCAATTTTTTTGGCATTTAATTACCAATAAAATAAAATTTTTTATGACCAACATGCCTTTGCGTTCTTTTAAGGAAATTGTGATATACATTTGGAATATTTTTAGATTGATTCTTTTGAGGTTTGAAATCCCATTTTTTGCTTAATTGAGCGTCCTGAATTTCGTAAACTAGTAATAATAATTGTTTAGAACAACTATGACTCAATTAGACTCAGTATGTCCAGTTCCATTTGGAATCGTTCAAAAATCTGTCAGATCAGCAATAAATCAAAAATTTTTTGGACAGTCCGTAGAACAGAGATAAAGTGAATACTGGTGCCTTGTTCGCCCCCCTCCCCTCCACCCATTTTGCAGCCACAAAGTTAACAACAATGATAATGCAATCATTTTAAAAATTAGAATAGGGTCACAAAAGCCAACAATTTTTGTGATTTATTGTTGTACGACTTTAATGGCTGTACCGCAGCAAATTGTCATGCCGATCACGCCCGGGGCTTTGTTATTGTCCGGGGTGCGGTACACATGTTGCAAAAAAAACAGCCTAACGCTTAAGTGCCAAAGCTATCGTAAATAATACCAGAGGAAATATCTGTTGTTTAGACCCTCACGGGTGGGCACTTCAAAAACTAATTTAAATTCCTTTCTGGGGTTGTTGTCGTCAACGAAAGACGATATTTGAGTGGACGGATGACAGTAAAATTACAAGTTGTCACGTGGTAAAAACCGAAAGGCAATAACATCAAATGACGTTTTGTTTTAGCCAGACCACACCCTGTTTTAAATTGAATAAAAATATTACTGTCACCTTTCTTGTTGTCGCAATGGCTGTCTAAGACAGTGCGCTCTGTAGATTAATATTTAATACAATTTTGCTTCTTTAATATCGCGCTTTTTTTAGTAAGGTCTCCTGTGGACTACATGGGACTCTGACTACTTTACATTGTGTTGCTTAATATTATCGCGTTTTCTTGGTGGTTTCTGAATTCTTCGAATCGTATATTAAGAGTACGTTTTGTCTCTTCAATATATGCATTGATACAACTACTCTGTCCCTTGATTCGATGTTTCGGTTATAGTTTTTCGGCAGTGCACTTTTAAAGTCAACTTGAAATCTTTTCTAATATAACTTTTAAACACGGGAGTGCGATGAGCGTGTCTTCGTCAGGTCTACTACTACTGAGTGTATTATACAAATGTTTATAATTCCATTAACAAATTTCTGAGTATAACCATGGTGGAGCAAATATTATTCAATGCAGCATCAACATAATCAATAAAATATTTCGACTATTCCAATTTTTATTGCTCCAAAATGATTAGACAGATAACTGGGATATTACGCTATATTACGATATTACGCAATGGTAAATGGTAAGTAATTACGTGAACTGAGATGATTAAGAAAGGAGTCTAGCTATCTGTCGATTTCAATGCAGGTTATGAAAGTGACGCTAACATATATAAGCCAGATTTGGTTTGACATTTCCAATATTTATGTCATGAGTTTCAAACAATTATATTATATATATTATCTTACCTCAAGCATCGACAATGTTTAAAAATTCTTTAACGGGGACATTGGTTAGTTTTGGTTAGTTTTTCTTTTAGTTTCAACTGCATTAATGCGTTAAAACTTTGCTTTCCTTCAAGAAGTGAAATCTAATATCAATGTGTATTTGCAATAAGTACCTTGTTCTCCGTTGCAATTGGAACGTATTTAACTGTTCACCCAAGATCATATTTTTTATTTTTACAAGATTTACAAATCATGCAGAGCTGTTTTTCTCGAATGGTGTTGTTAGTGTAAAACTAAGTGTAATTCACACACTTCTTCCATTGTACTGTATTTGTAACGTCATTATCTATTATTTCCGATTAGTTTCAACCCGATGAAAAACTTTCACGTTTTGACGTTGTACCAAAAAGTTGAAACACTAAGTTGTATTCATCAGACATATAGCAACATTGCAGTTAAAAAGCGGAGTAATATATCAAGTCGAAGAGGATGTCCGAAAACAGGTTGCTCCTACAAATCCGGTTTTCTGATAAAATTAGAACATCCTATTAAATAGAGATGCGATACTAAAAAGTGTTGTGTTCGTAACTTTTTAGTTTTTCAAAATTTTAGTTTTAGTAAATTAAGCCGATTCGCTAGAAAACGAAGTCATTTTGGCATGTTCACATCTCATCATTTTGGCTGTCAGAGGATCGGAACTTTAAATATTTTTCTATTTAACCTATTCTATAGAATAGAACATTTTGTTGAGGATCATTATAGTCTCGATTTCGCATTTAATAACTAAATAGTATAGCGCGATAGGGACAAACAAAGCCTAATTGTTTGCTTAATTAAAATTATGATTTTGCTTGTTTTGGACATTACACTAAAATGTTGTTGTTGATCCTAATTGAAAAACGCTATATATCTCCATCGGGTATAGAAGAATTTTTTTAATTTTAAAACACTACAATCATGACCACCCTGTATAATATAATTGACTATTTGAGTGACCCTTAAATGGATTTACCAATCTCAAATGAATAATATCGACAAACTAAAAGGAAGCCTTGATTTTTGAAATATATAGTTAAATTTTTGATAAGCGTTTCATTAAGTTGTTGGTTACGATAATACAATTATTAAAAATAATTTTCATATCTAAATGACATTAAGATTTCATTTCACAATACTAAATATTAATTAACCCGCACCATATAAATCATTCCGTGTTCATCTTGAGAATAGAGTAACCAGTGAGAAAGACAAAAATAAACCACATCGGTCCATAAATCAGTATAATTTTAGAACGGGATTCATTTTACCGCCTCTTAAATTTTATCTCCCCCACTTCCCGTTCTTGATTTCGAAAAGCGCACAAAGAAAAAATCTCGCGTGGTACAGGATAACCCCATCGCACTGGCGGCGTCCTTCTTAGGAGATGCCTCTTTTTTCCTTTCTTTTTCAACGCTATATCAACATGCTAGAAGATATAAGGCCGTGAACCTTGCCTACTGTGCTGGTTCGTTTTTAAGTTGGATAGAGCCTGTCTAAATCATTAAAACCGAAATGCATGTTTGATTTTTTTATCTTTAAACACACAACATCCTCCGGTCCCTCCCAATAGTCAATGTTCTAACAAAAATACTTCACTGGTCGACTAATACAACGCAAAAAAACAGAAGTAACTGTGAATTCTGGTTGTACTGCGAACCCAATTAAAAATTAAACTGAGCTAAACATTTTATAGAATAAAACGCCCAAATTGTGATTTCAAAATTCATTTTTAATAACTGGGCTTCCCAATTAAAGTTTGGAAATAATTTGTATAAATTTGGTGAGTTGTTTTAATTTTAATTAATTTTTTTCCAAGTTTTTTTAAATTTGCAGGAGAATTTTTTAATTCAATTCGGTAGCAAATATTTAAATTTTTAACGATCTCTGGTGTGAAAGACGAATAAAACGTCAATATTATCACAACAGGTTGAAAATAGACTTTTATAACATTTTGATTACAAAATTTTCAAAAGAAGGTATAAATTCTTTGATCTGATTCTTTGAAATTCTTTTCTCTCAAAACTTTTAGTTGGATTTAAAAAAAAATCAAGTTTTAACCTTTTCTCATTAATTTTACAAATAATTAGTAATTTATTATTATAAAAACAGATGGTGGAGTAATAAAACAAGAACCATATTTCCCCGAAGTTCACGGCGACTATCTGAAGCCGTAGAGAGAAAGCGATTTTGAACAAAACATATTCAATTGTCGCGGAAAAATACCCCACTACCATGTTTCGCATCAAGTTAGCAACATATGTCTTAGACTTATATCCGAAGTAAAGATTATCACGGATATCATAGCGACATAATGGTAAAGTTATAATTTTATACAAAATTTGATAGTATATCGGAAAAGTTTCGAAAATTTTATTTATTTCCTGAATTCAATAGAGATTTACGTTAACTTTTGCATCACTCTATATTGTTTTACTGTTAAAAATGCTCACTATGCTTTCTGAAATTGTGCCAACGATAAACGTAATATTATTAAGTAAAGCTGTATGAGAACTTACGTGAAGAATATAACACCCAACGGATTTGTTTTGTCCCTAGGATTAGGGTTCACATTTTCTTTGGTAAAATCCATGACGGCACTGACGGATCTCGGAGAACGCCTTCTTGCTTTTAATTTTAATAATCCTACGAATACTGCTTAAGAGATCACAGAAACTTTGAGTAAAGTGAAGACGCTATTGCACATCAGTCTTTTGGTGTCACTTCCGTTAAAGGTTGTTCGCTATTCGACAAACTTTGCTGGGTTTTCCCTGTAAAAAATTACTTCGATCAGTACAGCGACCAAGCTAAAAAATTAAAACAACAAAAAGATTAATAACGGCCTGAGTTAATGTCCTTGACAATTGATCGGCGGCACGCTCTTTTTCATATCCTACATGTATAGTACTATTGTAATTATTTATACAGCCGCTTAATTATTAACAATTAAATCGAGCCTTGGAGACGACAACTATGTTCAATCAGCCTAAAGACAACCTACATTCATTCCAGTGGTGTGCCTTCAATTTTATCTGGATAAGATCTATACTTTATATATAATATAAAAAGAATCCTACTACTACAATTTCACAAAAAATTGGTTAACACAAAATGAGTGAGTTATGAATATGATGTTTTTGATTATGTTCAAGAGGGAAAACCAATTATTGGTCCGAGAAAAAGCGGTTTTAAATTAATATCTGCATTTTTAAGGTAGATTTCGCTACAAGGCTAAAAAGCAAATACTGACTGCAAATCGGCAACTATTTGACCAAGAAAAGGCGGCTTTACGTCGATATCTGCTGGTTTCTTAACGTTTTCTTTACAATAAAGGTTGAAGATTGAAGCCGATTTTGACTAGTATTTGAACGATATTCACATGAAAAGGTAACTGGATCAAAAAATGATAGCTTAAGCTGATCTCTGCGGTTTTGATGCTGTTTTAGATACGATATGTGCCTGAAGAGCCGAATTTGACTGGATTCTGTTTGAAATGAATAATAAAAAAGTACTATCAATCCAAGAAAGTGGGGTTTTAAGTAGTTATCTGCAGCTTTAGCGTAGATTTCAGTCCGATAATTTATGAAAATGCTGTTTTTGACTATGATCTACTTGAAATCAAGAGGGAAACCAATTATTTTTCCCAGAAATAGGGGTTTTAAGTTCATATCTACATTTCGGTAAAATAAGAGGCGAAAATGCAGATTCTGACTGGAATCTAATCGAAATCGGCAACGATATCCGTCGATTTGTTAACGTTTTTGTTACAATAAAGGTTAAAGATGCCGATTTTGACTAGTATTTGAACGATATTGACATTAAAACTGCAGATAGCTACTTAAAAACCCACTTTCTTGAATTGATAGTAGTTTTTCTTATCCACTTCGAACAGGTTCCAGTCAAAATCAAAACTACAAGGATTTCACGTTCATATTAAAGTTCAAATTCAAAGGGTATGTAAAAAAAAGCACATTTATATTACCAGTGTTTAACCACAAGGTGACCATATGAAATTTTCAAGGTGTTATTCAAAATCATCACATTTGTTTTTCTTTCGAGTTCCAAATGTCTTTTTGAAATATTTAACTGTTTATTTAATTCAAAAGAGACATTTTTTTAGATAAACCGTATTTACTTCCTTGATTTAACTTACCAAGTACCTACTGATTAATGTAGTATTAATTATTTTTAGTTAATCTTATATATTCATTTAGTTATATTTTTTGTATAAGGGGGCAATTTACAATTAACAATTCACTTTGTCAGTCAAAAATCGCAGTTTGCTTTTATCACTACGATCTAAACCGCAATATTTAATTAAGCGACTTTGAGAAAAAGTTTTTTATGTTTCTAAAGATTTAAGATATTTCACCCCTTGGCACCCGATACTCACATCTGTTTTTCACTCAACGATAAAGATTTTTTAACTCTCTTTATAATGATAATAATAATTCATTCAGAAAATTACACATTTTTTTCTTGATGTAACCAAATGTAGAAAAGTTTAATGGAAAAATTATAAGATTATCGTATATAGAGAGAGTATTAATGGTTGGTTTTTTCGATTTTTTTTCGAATTTCTTAGGTAATAATGACTCCCTTTTCACGACACTTTAGGAAATAGAAAAAACTTTAGAAAAATATAAGATTTTCAGAATGTTTATTTAGTAGAATTGGCGTTTGACAAAAATTTTCTACTGACGCGTGTCTAATATAATTGGGTAATTCGTTTCTCACTTTGTGCCATCAGCATCAATTGAGATTAAAAAATGGAAGCCTTATCGCTTTTTAAGTTTTTAAAGAAAAAAGAAGGTGATTCAAAAGCATTACGTGAGCAATAAAATTGGTTGTAGCTAGCCCGGTACGTCGTTAAAGTTTAAGGTACACAAATGTCAAAAACTCGCCAATAATTACGCGAACGTGGAACCGTACTTGTAGCTAGAAAAATACCAATCATTCTGTATTAAAAAACGTCTAGTTTACTTCTGAATGAAGGGAATTATTGCTTGTCATCTAAAATGGTTCCGCTACTTAAATTGCCATCGACTCGATTCACGCAAAACAATTTATTTAATGAACTATTACGACAACAGTCAATTAATAAACGTACACCGGGTCTAAGCATATTTTGCTTTTAATGGAACTCTGTATGACGTTTTAAAAAAACAAAATACTTTTAAGAGCTTTCCCTACTATTAATATCTCCAAAAAAATATGGCTCTTTTTGATCTACTTTATTATGTATGGTGCCTTTGGCACCGAGACAGATGGGTGAAGATGGGCTGATACTTCGGAGGTGACGGCATAGTTTGGGATTTACCGGATATATTGGAACGTCCAGCACTTACACGTTTAACTCATTAATGCAACGTAATAATCATGTTTTTAATCCCATCAGAAACTGGTCTTAAAAATATATAGAGACAGTTTATTTCAAACAATGGTTTATACTTAACATTTGAAAAATCCTTAAAATTACACGTTGTAACATAAGCAGTTTTCAAAATATTTGAAATTTATAACTAGCATAAAATATTTACATCTATCGAGGAAGAGTTGAGTCAATGCAGTACAGGATGTCAAGGTTCCTAGTTAAATAATAATACATAAACACTAAAATTTGATACAGGAACGCACGGAGCATTAAAGCAAACAATGACTATTTAGATAACGTTGTGGAATTAAACAGTTTCTCAACCAAACAAGCAAAACATGCAGTCGGTAAATAATTAAACCAATATTTAGGTTCTTCTAATTATATCTTCTCGTCAAGGTTAATTTAAATGCCCCTTGGTGGCAGGTACAACTTATGAAATTTGGATAAACCTTGATCTGAAAAATATGATCGTTCGTAAAACAAACCGAAAATATTTATGCAAAGTCATTGCTGTTAACCTTGATACATTAAACACATCTGCGTAATTCATCTGTACAAGCGAATGATAAGAAATACTTCATCAAATAAAATGTGGAATACCTACCAATTTTACCTTACAATTTATACAAAATTACTACAAGCTACAATTGAATTAATAGTAAATAAAGGTTTTTGGTGTTAAAATCGGTAACTTAAAAAAAAACTCACGAATAAGCATTGAAGTGTCGTGATAAAAACTCGTATGGCGCGTAAATTCCGGAACCACTTGGATAATTTTGTAAAAAAGTGGTACGACTGAGCATACCACCTTCAGCTTTGAAACTGGCGAGCCCGGATCGGACAGTCACGTTGTTTCGAACACGCGGTATGAAGCGGCGTTGCCACATCTAAGATACTTAAGAACATTTGACTTAAGTTAAACGCATCGTCGCGGGCTAAAGAACAGTTTTATTATTTTATATTAATATATATAAAAAATATTTTCTCTCAACTTCCGAATATGTAATAGAATCGGATTAATCCGACAACGGAATGAACAAAATATTAAACTCGATATCTTATCAAATTATTAACTGAATAACATCTTGCAACTATTATTATGTTATAGTTATTTCAAAATTAATTTGAGCTTTTCAAATTCTTCAAAAAATATGTTAATGGTGGATTCACTAGAAAAATAATAGCAGGTAGGAAAATGCAGAGAATTCAAATTCGCCATACCATAGATGCCTACCATTTATGGTTCAAGCAAGCTATCTACAATATTGAAAAAAAAATGATGTAATATTACCCAACCGATCAAAAATCAGCCATGGCTTGCTATCTCAATTGATTAATTAGATTTGTAATTTGAGTATAACTTGGGTAGTCTGGACGGATCGAGTTTGACAAATTAAAATTCATTAATTAAAAAAATGTATCATCAAAGAATATATTACGTTAATATAAATATGTACCAAGAAAGAAAAAAAGCTAAAATTTATTTACGAAAAACTTTAACCGAAAAAGTCAGATTTTTTGAATGTCGTTTTTTGACTCTTTCTGGGTTATCCTAAAAACTCCCGTAAAAAATATTTTTCTGCTAACTGCATCATCTTGAACTATCTCACATTGTGCAAGATCTTCATCACTTGTTTTTGATGGCAGCCATGACGAATGTCAGCAAAAAATCGGATATTAATGTGTGGTATTCGTATTAAGAAAGTATATCATGTAGAGGGCAGTCGAAATATAGACCACGTTTTTTCTGAAATCTCTATTAAGGCAAATTGTTTTTTCCGTTAGCATTAAAGGAGCAAAAACTAAACATCACCAAGTCAACGAACATAATTAATTTTCTTGTAGCAGGAACTCTGGACTTGAAAAATTCTTGTTTTGCTTATTTTTTTCGCCGTTTTTTATTTTTTATTCATTTATTTATTTACTTATTTGAGGAACTAGGAGAAAAATGGAGTAGTCTAGATGGTACTACTTTGTAAATATTATACTATATACAATAAAAGATTTTACGGAATTATTTAAACAAACCGTTCATCAGAAGTTTACTAGCCAGTTCGTTAAGTTCGTTAAATGCGAACTTAAAATGCTTCTAAAATGAAAAGACAATAATGGAATTACAGAAAATATATATAAACTATACGGCAAGTTTTTGCAAAGTAGAGATGTGTGGTACATTAGTTGGGGTTCTCTCACTACAAAACGGAGATTTGTGAACCTCAGAACGCAAAATATTCATAAAAAATCAATATTCGGCAAAAGATTCACAGATATGAAATTTTTTAAGTGTTCTCTAGATTTGAAAATCGAATATGCAAACATTTAACCATATTTACCTAAAAGCACCGTTACAAAAAGATTTGTTAACAAATTTTAGATTTTATTAGTGGTAACTCTCAAAATAGATTCAATTGTAAATTGAAAACTTTATTGCAACGCTAACAATAGACAAGTGTGCTAACCAAGTACCCGCGACACATCGTTTATAAACCTAAGCACCGTATTTATAATATTTTCTAGATTTAATGCATCCTAACGAAAAGATCTGTCGCCGTTGCTTAAAAATACGTAAACACGTGCACATGAATAAAATAAACAAAACAGCGCGAAAGGCGATATTCACAACCCACCTACGGCGGCTTTGATCCACATCCGACACTCAAAAATCTGTACGGTCTCGCGCTTGGCGGTTTCAAATTGAACTGTCACCGTCGCCGCAAAAAACAGTATTAAATATCCTCTGGATCCGCGAATATGAACGATAAGATAAAGCTCGATGATGACTCGCTATATTTTATTTTAATTAATTTTTTGATTTGTCAACTGTATCAACATAGTCGATGTGCGCTATAATTTTATTGTGTCGCGGTAGTTAAATACTTCATGAAGTCGCGTCCCGAATTATGTTCACAGAATGCAAAGGTTATGGAATTATAGTCGTGCGAAATTTGTTTCCCTCACCGACTCGTTTTTCCGACTAGGGAAGATACAAGGAAACTAGAATTTTGCGTAGGTTTAATTTTGGATTTACCCCATCAATGGGTGGCGTTTTTGGTGCTTTTTGGGATTTTGAAATACAAAAGCAGTTTTCAAAACAGTTAGTACTAATATACTAATATATTATGCAACAAGTGCGGTAAACGGCATTTGACTCACGAGTTTATCTGACACGAGCAGAGCGAGTTTTTAATAAATGAGTGAGTTAAAAAGGTTTTCTACTCCCGTCTGTAAAATACCTAATTACTCACCGATCTAGCGTGCGGGAAGCGTCGCTTTACCACGTCAGTTTCGTTTCCCACGAATCCGAGCCACTTCGGACATTTTCGGGATTTTAGCGCACAGGTTTGGGAGCAATCGGATGTTTTCGGAGATATTTCCCATGCTTTGAATTTTGACGTTTGTCAATTCTGACAGTCATGGCAGTGAATGTATTCGTGTTTGGCGAAAATGTACGTAAAAACTAGCGGTCGTAGAAAGTATAGTATGCAACACGTTCGGTAAACTTTTTAAGTCACTCGTTTATTAAACACTCGCTCCGCTCGTGTCAAATAAACTCGTGAGTCAAATGCCGTTTACAGCACTTATTGCATAATATACTATTACCGAACGTGTTGCATACTATACTTTTTCTACGACCGTTAGTTTTTGGGTACATTTTCGCAAAACAACACGAATACATTCACTGTCGGAATTGACAAACGTCAAAATTCAAATCTGCGAGGTAAAATCCCGGAAATGTCCGAAGGGGCTGGGATTCATGGGAAACGAAACTGACGTAGTAAAGTGACGCTTCCCGCACGCTAGATCGGTGGGTAATTAGGCATTTTACAGACGGGAGTAGAAAAACATGTTTGCTCGTATTTAGGCCACACCACAAGCATGGTCACAAACTGAAATGTGTCCAAATCCTAAACCTTTATCAAAGAAACATGGATTAAACATAATTTTAATCAACAATACCTTGGCACTTCAAGAATATATAACGATCGTAAGATTATACCCAAAGGTATGAGCCGTCTATAATCAAATACACTTCAAATACATCATAGAATGCATGATCTGATGTTGTGAATTTAAAAACTTTATCATTTTATGCCAATTGAATGAGCTCTCTATAATATAGAATTATTATGCAGATATTGCGATATACATACTATGCAAATTAATTAAATTTGTCAAGGTCACATCGTTTTTTTAAGATTTTAAAAAAAATTTATTGAAGTAGTTGGTAACTTTTCATTAAGGCTCCATAGAGGCATTTATTATAAACAGAAGAAAATTATGATAAAGTATAGAGTTTAAATATAAAAATTTGTGCCGTGCGTTCAATTTATCTTGATAACATTTTAATTGATTGTAACTGTTTTATTTTTAGAGATATCAAGGTAAACAATTTTCTGACATGTAAACCTATATCACTTTTTTTTAATATAACACCCTGTATTATATGTACATGCTTAATAGAATATCTTGTAACACACTTTATATTTTAGTCCACTCGTTTTTAACAAATCAGCAAAAATAGGATATTTTTATATACTTTTAAGGAGTGCCCTGTCGCAGAAATAAAAATATGGATATGTTTGACATATTAGTAAACAACGTGGTTAAATTATCGTCGAAGGCATTATTGTTAAAATGGTTTTTCGCGAATTTAGTGTCAGTGAAAGGAGTGATATGCTTCAAGTATAGTTTGTGGATAATAAAAATGCAACCGCAGCTCGTCGTCAGTATATTAGATTTTATCCAGAGCGCCGTGCTCCTTCAAAACAGATATTTCCAAAGCTCGCAACGAAATTCGCAGAAAACAGTAACGTATTAAATGCTAAAAAGAAATGCCGAAATCATAATGTTTTAAATGAAGAAAATAAAGCAAACATATTAGGATTCTATGCAGCACATCCAGTTTTCTCTATTACTAGAGTGTATAAAGAGATAGGTATTTATCGAGGATCAATTCACTCCATTTTAAAAGAATATAAATAGAACGCATTTAAATTTTGCAAAACTCAAAAACTAAGTGCAGAACAATGTCAAAGGAGGGTGCAGTTTTGTTTGGATTTTTTAAATAGACATAATGAGAACAATAATAATAAAACTAATAAAATAATAATAATAATAGTAATAATAAAGGAAATATGCGATATTGCGCTTTAAACAATCCTAGACAAATACACTAAATAAAAACCCAATCCAACCCAACAAATCAATTAATGTATGGTGTGGAGTCATAGATGGACTTATTTTGGGACCGATATTTTTAGATCAAAAGTTAACTAAAGATCCTTAACTAACTAACTAACTCTTAGAGGACCAAATAGAACAATATATAGACGATTTACCCTTAAATATATTAGTGCTGAATATAGGACAGCAAGAAGGTGCCCCTACTCACAATGATGTGCATGTTAAAAATTTTCTTAACACGTAATATCCCAGGGGTTGGATAGGGATTGGCCAGCCAATAACCCCGACTTAACTTTCATGGATTGCTTCTTGTGGGGACACATAAAAAATTACGTGTATAGAACTCTTTGTCGTGGAACTTCGGCAAAGGATTTCAGAAGCAAAAAATCAGTTAAGAGACAATCCGGAAACGTTACTAAATGCAAGACATCATACGATTAAAGTGTATGAGAAATGTGTTCAGGAAAATGATGGTCACATACTTATTACATTACATATTTAGAATAGTTAAAGAATTTTAGTTTTATCTTAGTGTGTCATGTCATTTTTAGTGTTTTTGTTCTACTTTAATTTGTAAATAATTATTGTTGTTGCAGTCAGTCACGGCACTCTTTGAAATGATATAAAAATTTCCTATTTCT